TGCATTGAAAATAATTGAATTCCTGCAAAGAATTTTACTATAATTTATAAAAATAATTGAATTCTTCCGAAAATTTATCTTTGAACAATTTAGCAATGATTATTAGATATCTAGGACTCTAAGGCTTAAAAAATTATGTTTGATTCTTAGGGACAAATTATAAAAGCTGATAACAGAAATCTTTAAGTTTCATCCAGTGTAATGTGTCAAAGTGTCAGAAACATTGTCAACATTTTTTAATTTTCTTTTGATTTAAAATTCTAATTTAAATATGCAGTTGACAAACTTTTGAATTTTTGATTCGATTCCTCTGTTCAGTGGTTTTTGTAAAAGTATAAATTTTTCAAGAGAAAAGCAAAGTTAGTCAGAATGTAAAATGGGAAAGAAGTTTTTTTTCTTCTTTTCTTCAATTTGCAAGACCTAAAGATACAGAGGAGGAAACTTGGAAGCACTTGTGTTTAGTTAGACTAAAATTTGAAAATATCTCTCTTTCTAAAATTGAATGTTCCAGTTTTAAACAAAGCATCCTCTTTTTCCGGCTTGCTAAAAGCAGTCATTGCTCTCATTTGAGATTCACGAGATAAAGTAGCATTTGTATTTTTTGTTTGTCTATTCCTTTCAATTTCAATTTTTTTTTCGAGGGAATTTTTTTTCTATCTATTTAGCTATTGTTTTATTGAAAGAAGAAGAAGAAGAAGAAGAAGAAGAAGAAGAAGAAGAATTGTCTTGTTTCATTTGAAGTTATTTCCAGTAAAATTGTATAGAATGTACACGCTTCTATACATAACATTATAGAAGAGAAGTCGTCGTCGTCGTCGGAGCAGCAGCAGCAACTCGGACGACACAATATCCGATTACTTCGCCGTAAGCTTTTTTTTTCTACGTGAAGTTAAAACCAAGTGGTAGCTTGATTCTTCTTTAAATGTTTCGAAAAAAGAAATTTTTTTGTTTCCCATTATGACTTTTGTTCGTCACGTGCTGTTTTAATAACAAAAGAACACGCGCCAAATTTTTAATCTTCATCATTATAATGATGATTATTATTATGAAACACATTTACGATGATTAGATATTCGCTCTAATTAATTTATTTTTAGCTTCCAGAGGCAATGACAATTCGTTTTTCAAAATTTCGATTATATATTGATCTCGATTTATCGGAGTTTATCTTACCTTCGACCTTAGATGGAAATAATGAACGTGCTATTTATTTGCTCTATCGATATAAATACCTTCGCATGGCGCGACTTGAATATTCAATTCAAATGCTATATTCATCCTGGGAATCAATTGCGTGCTCTGACTTTTCATGTCAAATTAAATGTTAATTGCTCTCGACAATGTAATTTCACGATACCGTTTATATTTTCCTTTTCCTTTAATTTCAAATGAAAGAAATTAATATTAATTTTTCGATATTAGTGACAAAAGAAAATTGCGCAAATTTTCGCCAATATTTCGTTAGAGATATTAAATTGTTTCTTCTATTTCAGTAATGAAATAATAATAATACAAATTATCTTTGTTATTCTATAACAATTGGTCTCGATTTCTATTTATTGAAATATTATCTATTAAAACGACACGAATTTTTTTGCTTCGTCAGGAAGGAAAGAAAGTAAACAGTATTGAAAATTAATTATAAATCTAATTCTAAATTATTTTCGCATTATTATAAATTTTTAATCCTGTGTTTTTTATTATTTGTTCAGGAAAGAGGATCAATTTTAGCAGTTTGCATTCTTTTTTTTGGAGATTTCCTTCGAAACGAGCATCTTAATCTTAATCATCTGATGAAAGGTTGCTTAGTCACGTCTGGCGTTAAGCTCCTAAGTCCTTTTTATGCATAACTCCTGCGTGTGAATAATCCTTTGAATTGCCATTGGAGGTCAAGAGTATTGAATTTATATTTATTTTTTTTCGTCTCTTTATTATCAACAAGTTTTCTGTCAATAACCTTAATGTGAATAATGAACTCGTATAATTTTGCACTAATTTTCATGATTGACGAGTAAAACGATTCCATTGACTGAAAATTACCATGGTCGATACAATATAAATTTAATTAGCGAAACTATCGTATAGATATGATTGGTATTCATAAAGGCTAATATAGTGACATTTATTCTCACGAGTTAAGATTAAAATAATGTCGATTACATTTTTCATCTTAATTTCAATAATTTTTTTCGAATTAAATATTGTTTTGGTTCTTATCGAAGGAATTTTGAACAAAGAGAGAAAGAGAGAGAAAATTAAATTATGTGATAAGCGAAATGTAATACAGGTCTCGGATAATGTGACTTTTTCGACTCTTTTAGACTATTTTCTAAAAATGCTACTGTTTTCGATTTATTTTCAAAAAATAGGACTAATTTGAATTTTCTTTCACATATTGCAAAAAAATACTTTTTCGGTATAAAATTCAATATATTTTGATTTTCAAAGTATGAAAATAACTACAGTCAAATTTTATTGAAAATAATTGATTCTTTTAAAGTATTTCATTAAAATTTATGTAAATTTAATTTTGGAGAATTTTTTTTTACAAATTTTTAAAATAATTGAATTTTCAAAAATTGCAAAAAAAATTTAAAAATGACAATTAACTTTAAAAATTTACATTGAAATACTTATTAAAAAACTAATTCTTCACAATTTTTTCATTATAATTTTTTAAAATTCAATTATTTTCAATATTTTCAATCACATATTTTTCAAAAATAAGACTCAAAATTCAAATAACTACAAAAAGTAATTATATTAAAATTACTTTTGAAAATACACTTCTGTGAATTAAAATTTTTGAGAATCAAATAATCATTTTTCAAAATTTCTAATTCTAATTAGCCATAAATTGTTAACAGAAATTAAATTATTTCTTAAATAATTGAATTTTATTTTTTTTTTGCAAAAATATAAATAAATGTTTTTAAAAAATATTTTTCACAAATTCTTGTAAAAAATCAATTATTTTCAAATAATTCTACTAAATTTCAATTATTTAACTATTTTTTAATTGCATTTAATAAAAAAAATATTATTTTTATTTATTTTTTATTTAATTTATTTTTAATTATTACAAAAAATTGAATTTTGGTCTTTTAATAATTGAATACTTTGAAAACTTTATCACAATTATCAAAAATAATTGAATTGGAGAAAAATTTTAATTTAAGATTTTTAAAATTGAATTTTGGAAGAGTTCTACCAGAAATTTTAGGAAATAATTAAATTTCAAAATTCTAATCAATTCAGTTTTTTAAAAACTTTCAGGATTAAGTTTTTTTTTAAAACTAGTTAAATTTTTAAATACCTATGCAATAAATTAAAAAATTTTTGAAATAATCGAAATTTTATAAAATTGAATTTTAAACTGTATTTTAAATAAATTTTCTTTTTCTTTTATGAATAATTCAATTATCAGAGAACTTTTAAAAAATTTATTAAAAATTGATAATTTAGAAAAGAATTTCAGTGAGAAATTTTATAAAAATTAAAAATTAAAAATTCTTATTTTTAGAAGAATTACAGTTGCAATTTTTAAAAATAATGACATTTCAGAAGGTTTGAAATTTAAATTTTTAAAAAAATAACTGAATTTAGGATTTTTTTGAAAAATTAAACCTTTGCGATATTTTTTATTAAAATTTTTTGATGGCTATTAAATTCCCAATAGTAATGAATTGAAAAATTGTCAAACAAATGAAAATTTCGTCAAATTTTTATATTTTGGAGAGTTTTATCAAAATTTTTTTGTTAAAAATCGTGTTTTTGAAAAAATATATATAAAAAGGTTGAAAACAAATTTTGAAAATTGAATTTTACAAAAATTAAAAATTGAAGTTATTAAGAAAATAAGAGAAAAAGTTGAAAACTTTTCTGGAAATCAGGGAAATGTTTAGAAAATATAAATTTAAATGATAATTATAAATAATAAATAAAGTAAATAATAAGATAATTAAAAATTAGATAATCAAATGACAAAGATTTACATTTCATTATTTAAATTCAAAGATGAGAGATGATTTCAATTTTTTTTCTTCCAAAATTTGATATTCTTGACCTGTAGGAAATATATTTTTTGTGAAAAATATTTCTTTTCATATGCAAATGAAATTTAAAAATTAAAATTTACCAAGTTCGAAAAATAGAAATAAATCTTATATTCTGTATTCAGACAGTCGCAATTGATTCGAAAGTGAAAAATCTAAATATAATTATTCGAGATACTGAAAATTGGATTATGTAAATTATTCAGAATATTGAGTCAACCGTTTAATTAAAAGTTCACTCTGGAGTGATAATTAAACCATCAGATAGACGTTTTAGTAACGACTATTAGTATCTAATTGGCAGGTAAATCAAAATATTTCTCTTTTCATTAAAAGGCGCTTCAATTAATTCTCAATCGATTTCATTAATATTCAGGAATGGTTAGTTTATTGGAGAAATTTCACCTGTAGGGCATGATAAACGATCTTTGCTTTTTCTTTTGTTAAATTCGAAATATTAATTTGCGATTTTGCAATTTTGCAAAAATTTATTTTTCGCAGTTTTGTAAAAATTTATTTCTGCAATTTTGTAAACATCTATTTTTTCAGTTCTGTAAACATCTATTTTTTCCGTTTTGTAAACATTTTTGCAGTTTTGTAAAAATTTGTTTTCAAAATTTTGAAAAAATTTATTTCTGCAGTTTTGTAAAAATTAATTTTTGAAAAATAGTTAAGTGAATACTTTTCCGTCAATAGAGATAAAATGATGTTTAATAGAATTTTTAGTGTTTTTACTGAATGAGATGATTCAGATGATCGACACCTTTGAAAGATTAGCTGTCAGTCTGGGAAATTGTGATTTATTGCCATTGTATTGGTATTTCAATAAAGACAATAAGTCGTTGGATTTTTTTTTCTCAAACTGGCAACTGGTTTGACTTGAGCCTTGGCGGTCGTTGATTGAATATCAATGAATGAAGAGGTAAAAAAAAAGAAGAGACTTACCTTCATTGCTAATATCTGTTGTATTTGATTCCAGGGGAGCGGCGACAGATCGATCTGACACGAGCGGTTCCCGGCGTTCATCCTCGTGTCGCTTGTCAGTGTTGTTGGATTGCTGACGAACGATGGGAGCGGCGCTTTGATCCTTGTGAAATGCCCCGGCAATGGAAGTGGTGTTGCCGAAGAAACCAGTCCAAAGGATCAGTAAAAGTATCACCAAAATGAAAATGACCGAAGCAGTGATCGTTGCGAGACGATACGAGATGTAAGACATGGCTCTGTTGGAGGGTAATTTCAAGCTCCTTTTTTCTTTCTTTTGATTTTTTGCCTCTTTTTTAAGCCGAAAAATCACGGGTGCGTTAAGGATCGCCCCACACTGCTGTCGATGTTGTTGTTTCTCGGCACGGCGGCTTTCGTCCAAGTCGAATACACTGAACGACAGGTTTGAAAGCCCTTGCCGTTCATCGCGTCGGCGATTCCTGCCGCATGGATGAATGCCCGAGACAGAAATCGGAGAACTCGTCCCGCGAGTTTGTTCCCTTGGCGTCGGTCAATGTCTAGACCGCGATCCTCATGATGATCAAATTTGTATCGTGTGTCATCGCGATGAATTTCGTATAATAATCTATGTATAAACGGTGAAAATTTTTGAGGTCGTCGTCGTTGTCGTTGTCGTTGTGATTTCGTGCGTGAATTATTATCATGCCTCCACGTCTTCTTTCTATGCTTTGTGTCAATCTTTAAGCACGTGGAACAGTTGCTAGCATCTTCCGGCTCGATGAGCATTTACGAATGTTCCGTCAGAGGCGAGCGAAATCTGGTCCATTAGAAAGAAAGAAGATGGGAGAGAAAGAGAGCTTGCTGATTGTATTTACATTGAAAACACACCGGGAGAGAGAGACTGAGAAGACCTTGTGAGGCTTTCGACTCGTGCCACCTCCTCTTCTTCTTCCTCCTCCACCTCCTTTGTTACAATCGGTTTGGCTTTCGATGACTTGCTCTCAGTCAACTCTCAGTTTACTTTTGAGATTCCATTCCTGAAACAAAGGTATAAAAGAGAGGTCAGAAAAGAAGAATTATTTTTGGGTTTATTGGGGTGGAGAAAAATGGGGTCATCAAACTTGACAATTTCAGAGCATTTCGCGGATTCGTACAAAATTAGCAAGATTATTTCAAGTCGAAAATTCGGAAAGAGGGGAAAAAACTAACAAAGTTTGCGAATGTTATTTTACTTTTTTATAAAAAAAAATAAAATAAAATAAAATTCGCAAACTTTGTTAGTTTTTTCTCCTCTTTCCGGATTTTCGACTTACAAATCTCCAATTTGCAGAGACGAAAGAAGGAGCTTCTTTCTTTTTATCGTTCTTTAATCGTCTTATTTACAAGGGTGGCGAGAATGGAGACGATGGAAAGCCGTTTAGATTAAGCGGAAGCCCCTGGGGGGAGACTTATGTTGATGTTTTTCATGCAGAGCTATTCTGTGGTTTACTTTGAGGAGTACCAAAGTGTCGAGAAGATGGCATAAAGGTAGTTTATTACTTGAGCCTTCCTGATGGCGCAAATTTTTTTTTTTTCCTCCTTACATATCTGATTTGTCACGTTCGTTTATTTTCTTTTGGGGTCGAATGAAAAAGGATGAGATTTTCTAATGATGCTTGACAAAAGTGACAGGGAAAAAAGAGAATAGCAAAAAAAAAAAAATGAATTTTGCAAAAAATTACGATTACATTTAAAAACGAAATTTGAAAATGAATTTTGCAAATATTACGATTACATTTAAAAACGAAATTTGAAAATGAAATTTAAAAACGAGAATGAGTTGTGAAGGAACTTTCAAGTCTTTTGTTTTATTAATTTGATAAAATAAAATTCCTTCCTCGCTGAAAAATTTTTTTTCCATCTAAAAAAAGTTGTTTTGCAAGAAGAATTAAAAAAATTCGAAAAATTAATCATAAATCAATTATTATCTACTTTTTTAAAAATTCCTTTTTGTTGGAGATTTGCACTATCTTAAATACGTTAATAGTTGAAATAAAAATATTATTCTCAAAAATTTTAATAAACTTTTTTGCAAAAATTCAGTTTTCTTCACAAAATAATTCAATTCTTTGCAGGAATTCAATTATTCTCAATATCTTCTATTTTAAACAAAATTTCTCGAAATGGTTCAATTATTTAAAGACAAATTCATAAAATTCTCTTTAAAAAATCAATTATATGTAATAATTTTGATGAAATTTGTTTATAAAAATTCGATTATGAAAAATTTTAATAAAATCTTCAAAGGAATTCAATTATTATTATTATAAATAATAAAATTCTTTTGAAGGGATTCAATTATATTCAAAAACTTTAATAAAATTCTTTTTAAAAAAATTAATTATTTTGAAAAATCACAAAAAAATTTTTTGTATCAATTCAATTAATTTCAAAACTGAATAAAATTCTTCGAAATAATTCAATTATTTTTAAAAATAAGAAAAATTCTTCAAATTTATTCAATTATTTTCAAAAATGTTCATAAAATTCTTCGCAAATATTTCAATTATTTTCCAAAGTAGAGCAAATTCTTCGAAATAATTCAATTATTTTCACAAATAATTGAAAATTCTTAGCAAGATTTCAATTATTTTTATTACAATTTTATTTAAATTCCTCCAAAAAATTCAATTATTTTTGCAAATTTTACTAAAATTCTTACAAAGAATTTAATTGTTTTCAAAAATTTTCATAAAATTCTTTACAAGAATTTAAATTTAAGAAATGATAAATTTTTCTAATTATTATTTATTTTTGTATTTAAATAGATAATTGAATTCTTGTAGAACTTTTTAATAAGAATTGAATTAAAAATGAATCTCAAATGCAGTTTTAGACAGTAATTGACTATTAGAAGAAATATAGATGAAATTTTTAGAAATAATTAAATTTCAAAGTATTTTTATATTGAAATCTTTGAAAATTTTAATTGTTGTAAAACTAATTAAGTTTAAATATTTATTTTATAAATTTATCAATTTAATATTTTCTTTAAGAAATTTTAAGGTTTTGAATAATTTAATTTAAAAATTAAAAAAAATTAAAAGAAAGAAATAATTGAATTTTGAAAGAGTTGCAGTTATAATTTTTAGAAATAGTTAAATTAAATACAAAAATAGAAAGCTTTTTCATTAAAATTAGCAAAAATTTTGAATTCCTGTGAAAAAATAAATTGAAATAACTATTTAAATATATATTAAACAAAAATTATTCAAGTTTAGAGTAATTTTGAGAAACAAGGCAAAAAATTAGTCTTTTGAAGAATGTCAATTAAAATTGTTTTAGAAACTTAAATTCTCGTAGATAATTTATAAAATTAAATTAAATTTCCATTTTATTGGAAATTTTGTCAAATTTAATAGAAATAAATTTTATATTTTAAAGAATTTGATTTTGTCTTTATTTTTAAATATAATTGTATTTTTGATGAATTCTAACTTAAGATTTGGAAAAGAATTGAATTTTATAAAAGTTTTAAATTTAAATCATTACCAGGATAAGAAAAAAAATTAATATCTTTAATAGAAATGAGGGAAATACAGAATCGAATTTTTATGATTTTTGTGAATCAACTAAAACGATATTTTTAGTCGACAATGTTAATTAAATAACATTTGCATTTGCATTTTGATAGCTACATTTTTACTACTTTTTTTTAGTCTTAAAACTACTTTTTGCTGTGTTTTTAAAATTCCTTATAGAGTGCGAAACCTGAATTAGTAAAAAGATTTTTTCTCAACAAAAATAACAAACTTTCACTAGTTTTTGAAATCATAAACAAAAAAACTAAGCTTGTCAAGTAATTAATCGTCTAGGGAATTTATTTAATTTCTCATAGGAATTAATAATAATTAAATTGTCTCGATAATTAATTGATTTAGGAACATTTTTTTCAAAATGCAAACAATATATTATTTAATTTTCTGTCAAAGCAACCAGTTAATTAACATATTTGATTGTGACTAGATATAATTGTGTCGATTCAGCAAAAAAAAAAAAAAAAAGAATTTTTTTTCTTGCGTCACACCTTTTAAATATGTTCAATGTAACTCTTCTTCGTGTGAAAATATGTTTGTCCATATGTTATTTTAACTGCTGTCTTTGTGTTTTTTTTTTTAAATTATTGTTTTCAAATATTTATGTTTATACTGAGTTGATTTTTTGTTCTTGAAGATCAACAATATATTCGAGTTTTTGAAATATTATTATATAAAAGCTTATAAAATTATGCAACGGCTTTACAATCGCTGAGGCTAGTTTCGCATTTTTAATCTGAAATTAGTAAAAGTCCTTTTGGGTATTTTATGAATGTAGAAATTCGGTATTGAAAATCCCATGCTGTGAGAGAGGAAAGTTTAGTGTAAAATATTTAGATGAATGCACAGATTAAAGACAAGAGAAAACTGATCAGTTCCGGGTTTATTATATATATATTCTTGGTTCAGTGTTTTCTAACTTGTTGAAATTGATTGGAAAAAGAATTTTTCTTTTTTTCTTTTTATTTCATTGAATAATCGAAAGTCCTTTTTCATTCTTCCGAGTTGTGTTACAAATCGAGTCTTCACACGCCAAACATGTATCTATTTCTTCATTAGAACATGAAAATAAGGTCAATAATTACGAGTTTTACAAAATAGGAACTTGTCTCGCGTTTTCTAGAAGGAAATTTTATTTAGAACAAGAAACTCGTGTTATGTATTTTTTTGATCTATTTGACCATTTAAATTTTGCAACGTGGGATTTCTGAGATGAATATATTACTTATAGGATGACCAATAAAGTCGCCTTGCTCATGAATGGATAAGATAAGTTCGAATAAATTCAGGATTTCCTTTTTCGGAATGCGCGACTAGAAACGCCCCAACTCGAGCGAGATTGGACGCGATTCTATCTGATTGTTAGAAGTAAATCTTATCCCCTTATAAGAACACCAAACAATGAGACTTGAAATCACATATCCAACTGAAAGACTCCTTATGGGAGAGCATTACATTTTTTGCCGTGCGTAATACTCTTTTTGTTCCGCGATATTTTATGTCCTTGACAATTGAAAACGATTTCTTGAAATACTTTTGCAATATTACCAAAATATTCAATTTTTATTCATTTTTATGTATTTTTTTCAATTTTCTTAAATTATTTTAGGGAATTCAACAAAATTCAACAAAATTTTATTTTTTCAGAATTTCTAAATAAAATCTTTCAAATTCAATTAATTTTTGTTTAATAAATATTTGAATACTTAAGGTAATTAATTTTTCCATCAGGAATTAAAATTTCAAACTACTTTCAATGTAAAACCTTATAAAATGTAATTATTTCAAAATTAGAACTGAAGTTCTTCGAATTCTTTAAATGTTTTCTAAAATTCTAACTGAAATTCTTTTTCAAATCAAATCTTATCAAAAAGTTCTACAGGAATTAAATTAAGTAATAAATAATTAATGGAATAATGAAGTATTTCTTAAAATTGAATTCTTATGAAGAATTTTATAAACAGATTTGAAAATAATTAAATTCTTTCAAAGAATTTTAATCAAATTTGAAAAAATAATTCAATTTTTTCGAGGAATTAAATTAAAACTTGTAATAAAAATAATTGAAATCCTGCGAATAATTTTTATTATTTGTGAAAATAATTGAATTATTTCGAAGAATAAAATTCAGTTTTGAAAATAACTAAATTCTCTCGAATATTTTGTATTCTTTTGTAATCGAACATTAATAATATTCAATAATTATTAAAAGACAAATTTATAAAATTCTCTTTAAAAAAATCAATTATTTGTAATAATATTGATCAAATTTGTTTACAAAAATTTTAATCAAAATCTTCAAAGGAATTCAATTATTATCATAAACAATAAAATTCTTTTGAGAGAATTCAATTATATTAACAAATTTTAATAAAATTCTTTTTAAAAAATCAATTATTTTTAAAAATTAGAATAAAATTCTTCAATTCAATTAATTTTAAAAATTTTTCATAAAACACTTGGCAAGAATTCAATTACTTTCTTAGATATAAAAAAAATATTTGAGAGGATTCAATTATTTTCAAAACTTAATTAAATTCTTCGAAATTATTTTCATTACTGATTTAATTAAATTCCTCCAAAAAAAAATTCAATTATTTTTGCAAATTTTATTAAAATTCTATTTAGATAAGTTGAATTTCTCCGAAGAATTTTATTAAAATTTTTGAAAATGATTGAATTTTTTTCAAGGATTTTGATTAATATTTGTTAATTTAAATGTATTTTTCTAAATAAATCTATTGAAATTGTACTACAAATAATTGAAATTCTCCGAAGAATTTTATTAAAATTTCTTGAAACTAATTGAATTTTTTCCACGAATTTTATTAATGTATTATGTTAAAATAATTGAATTTTTTCAAAAAAATTCTATTAGATTTTTTTTTAAATAATTGAATTCTTGCTAAAAAATTTTATTATATTTATAACAAAATAATTGAATTCTTACGAAGATTTTTATTAAAATTTTCGAAAATAATTGAATTGTTTCAAAAAAATTCTATTAAAATAATTGTACTCAAAGTAATTAAATTTCTCAAGAAAATCTTATTATTTTTGAAAATAATTGAATTTTCTCCACGAATTTTATTAATATTTGTTAAAATAATTGAATTTTTTCAAAAAAATTCTATTAGATTTTTTTTTAAATAATTGAATTCTTGCTAAAAAATTTTATTATATTTATAACAAAATAATTGAATTCTTACGAAGATTTTTATTAAAATTTTCGAAAATAATTGAATTTCTCAGGAGAATTTTATTATTTATAAAAATAATTGAATTTTCCAGGAGAATTTTATTATTTATAAAAATAATTGAATTTCTGAGGTGAATTTTATTATTTATTAGAATAATTGAATTATTGCGAAAAGTTTTATCCAAGTAGAATTTAAAATAATATAATATAATAATACTAGAAAATCTTGAGCAAATGTTACATAAAAAAAAATTAAATTATTTTCGAAGGTTAAAAAATTCTTCGTAAGAATACAATTATTTTTATAAATTTTAATAAGAGTATAATTATAATAATGATTTTTTATTTTAAAAATATTTGTAGGAAAAGGATTTTAAAAAAAAACGTGGGCCTCTTTTCCATGAAAGTAACAAAAACCGATTCCGAAAACAGTTGCAATTCCTGGAAATAATTAAACATCAATCACGGTTTATAGTGGTCGATGCAAACTGTTTGAAATCCTTGTCTGCGAAAATCCGAGCCCGTTGGCAGTTGGAGGCCCCGAAGGCCAGAGCGCAAAACATAAACTTTCTCGTAAACGACGCTCTCAGTTTTCCGGAATGTAGGAATTGGCAGTTGCACCGCAACAGCCCAAGAAGCCGATGATAAAGATAGCGAGATACATTTTACAGATGTGAGGCTAATCGTAAAATAGTTGTAAATCTGTGATAAGGAAATTTCCGGATCTTTCAAAATGATATAATGATGACGGAATTATTCATCACAATTGCAAATCTTAACTCGCGATTTTATCTATTATGCGATGAAGGAAGATGGATAAATTAGAATATTTTTATAGAAATAGAATATTCCTTTTATTTGCATTTTTTCCGTTCTTCTACTTCTTCTTCTTCTTCTTTTTCTCATAGAGAAAAAATTTTTTTTTTTACCTAATTAAAAAAAAATAAATACTTTCTCTTATACGAATTGCAAATTTCTCATATTTCAGAATCAAGATTATTATTTTCAAAAAAAACTGTCTTCACTTTTGTCTATATAAAATAGATTATTATCATTATAAAAGGACACCTGTTCCTATAATACTCCTCGAATAAATTTGGCGAAAAAAAAAATATTAAATTTCTTCTGAGATTCTCGATTTCCTTCGGTGGAACGTAAATTGAGACTGTTCTTTTTGAAAAAAGTTTCTGAATTTAGGACAAGGTGGAAAGAAATAGAAATTAACGTAATTCTATTTTAATTTCTGGGAAAAATATCTGAAATTAGGTTTCGCAACTGTATACACTTTTGTTTAGGGTAACATTGATTATTATCATTATAAAAGGACACTTGTTTCTATATTCCTCGAATAAATTTGACGAGAAAAAAGAAATATTATATTTCTTCTAGATTCTCGATTTCCTCGGATCCATCGGATAGAAAGTAAATTGAGATTGTCCTTTTCGAAAAAAGTTTCAGAATTTAGGAGAAAAATATAATTTTTTTGCCATTCTATTTTAATTTCTAGGATAAATATCTAAATTACATTTATTTGTTCAAATATATTAAAATGTATCTGTATTATTTCTTTCAGGGTTGACACAGATCAGGGAAATCAGAGAATTCAGGGAAAAGACAGGAAAAATGAAATTGGTCAAGGAAATCAGGGAAATATCAGGAAATTCTATCAAAAATTCTGGAAGAATATCAAATTTCTAGAATGACTACAATATATTATTCTGGTTTGTGATTTCTGCATTTTCGAAATACTTGAAAACTTTGAATTCTTCTTCAATTTTTATTTGCCTTAAAAATTTTTGAATCAGAATGAATTTTAAAACAGTACATTAATTTTTTCTTGCTTCTGCAAATAATTACAATCATTTTTAATCTTTAAATCCTGGAATTAGTTAATTTTCAAAAGATTTAAATTACCATTTTTTTTAAATAAAAGTTTCGAAGAATATAATTAAAAATTCTGAAAATTTTGAAGTTTTTATAATATTTTAGTTCTTCTTTCGATAATTGGAATGAAAATAATTAAAATTTTATGAACAAGACATAGGAAATTTGTAAAATAATTTAAATTACCTAAAATTTAATTAAAAAGAAGAAAATAATTCATTTTATTTTAAGAATTTTATTGAAAGTATTGAAAATAATTGAATTCTAGCGAAGAATTTTATAAAAAATTTTGAAAATAATTGAATTATTTTGAAGAATTTTATTATTTGTGAAAATAATTGAATTCTTGCGAAGAATTTTATTATCTATGACAGTAATTAAATTCTAGGGAAGAATTTTATGATAATTTTTGAAAATAATTGAATTCTTGAGAAGAATTTTATTCAGTTTAGGAAGTAATTGAATTCTTGCGAAGAATTTTATTTATTTATTTAGTATATTTATGAAATTTTTGAAAATAATTGAATTGCATCAAAAAATGTTATTAAAAGTTTTGAAAATAATTGAATAATTTTGAAGAACTTTATTATTTGTGAAAATAATTGAATTCTTGCGAAGAATTTTACTATCTATGAAAGTAATTGAATTCTTGGGAATAATTTTTGAAAATAATTGAATTTTTTCGTGGAATTTAAATAAAATTGTAATAAAAATAATTGAAATCCTGCGAAGAATTTTTATTATTTTTTTTTGAAAATAATTGAATTCTCTTGAATATTTTTTTTATCTATGAAAGGAATTGAACTATTTTGAAGAATTTTCTCTAGTTTTGAAAATAATTGAATTTTTGGGAAGAATTTTATTATCTACGAAAATAATTGAATTCTTGGGAAGAATTTTATGATAATTTTTGAAAATAATTGAATTCTTGAGAAGAATTTTATTATCTATGAAAGGAATTAAATTCTTGGGAAGAATTTTATGATAATTTTTGAAAATAATTGAATTATTTTGAAGAATTTTATGCAGTTTTGAAAATAATTGAATTTTTGCGAAGAATTCTTTTGTCATCTTTAAAAATAATTGAATTTTATCGAAAAATTTTATTAAAAGTTATGAAAATAATCGAATTCTTTCAAATATTTTTATTATCTATGAAAATAATTGAATTACCGTGAAAAAAATTTTTTTTTTTGTTAAAATAATTGACTTTTTGGGAAGAATTTTATGAACATTTTTGAAAATAATGGAATTAATTTCAAGAATTTTATTCAGTTTTGGAAATAATTCAATTTTTGAAAAGAATTTTTTTTTGTCATCTTTAAAAATAATTGAATTTTATCGAAAATAATTAAATCCTAGCGAAAAATGTTATTTAAAGTTTCAAAAATAATTGACTTATTTTTAGAAATTTTATTTAAAGTGTTTTGAAAATAATTGGATTTCTGCTAAGAATTTTGATTATTTTTCAAAATAATTAAATCCTTGCAAATAATTGTTTTTAATTGTTTGAAATTAATAATAAGGAACTAGTTAATTATTTAATTTCTAATCATTTTAAATTTTGAATCTGAAATTGTAATCTGAAATTGATATTTGAAAATTAAAAATTTTGTAGGGATCAAGGAAAAAGTCAAAATTTTGTCTGCGGAAATCAGGGAAAAAGAAAATCAAATTTTTTGGGTCAACCCTATTCTTTCAAAGTACATTGGAAAAAAAATTTTTTGTTTCAAGTAACAAATAAATATTTGTTATTTGAACAAATAAACAATTGTTATTTGAACAAATAAATATTTGTTATTTGAAAGAACATTTTATTTTTATTATTATTTATTTTGCTATAATATCACAAGCGAATAAATTTAGTTTCAATGTAAAAAAGGAACGTTAGGAAGTAAAGTAGGTGAAAAAAATAAATTTTCCGCAAACGGATGAGAAGTTTTGAAAATATGTGGGTACTTGTGAGGATAAAATAGTGTCATTTATCAGTCTGCGTTGGATTAACAAGTTTATACACACAAGAGGCAACACGTTGAATAAGTTGTATAGACAACAAGTGTCGGATAGCAGCAAAACAATAAATTAAGACGATACATTTTCAAGTATATGTGCTTGTGTGTGTTTGTAAAATTCTTATTGAGTTTGAAACAATAAACAGTGGTATATTTCTCTAAGAGAGAGAGAAAGAGCGAAAAAAAGAAGAGGGCCGATAAATCGACAAAAAAAATGGCAAAAATTTTTCTCGCAGTCTATACAATTTAGATGATATGAGAAGGTGGAGCCGCGCGTCTGACCTCTTAAAGATGTTTTTTCCTCTTTCTTTCTTTCGTGGGAATGATAAATTGTTTCTTTTCCTATAAGGGTTCAGAGCAGATCTTCAAGACGAGGGTGAACCACATACGAAGTGTAGGAGGAGTACGAAATTAATCTCCCATAATATCGGGCATTTTTAATTTATCTCGAAAATTAATTTTACCCTTGATAATAGGATACGAATTTCGGAAAATATATTTTATTCATTAAAAGGCTATTATTAAAAGTAAATTATTAATTTTACATTTTAATTACTATTAATTTAATTCCAATTTAATACTATTAATTAATAATATTAACATCGATTTAATATTATTAATTAATTAACTAATATTAATTTAGTATTTAATTACATTTAGTTTAGAATTTAATAACATTTAATTAGTAGAAAATATCAATTATTTAGTGAAAAAAATAATGAAATTTCTATATGTAACGTATTTGTTTTTTATGACTACTAAACTCTTGATATATTTGCAGATTCGGAGGAGAAATTGATTTATTTCGATCAGATGCGGGGAAAAAATCTTGTCTCAGATATGAAATATGGTAAATGTGGTAATTAAGCGAAGGATAAGGATCTATCATTCATCTTATGTAACATTAACCTGAGAAAGCAGAGGTGCCGATAGAGAGTGAATGTTCACTTCCCTTTTTTTTTACATAAACGACTCAGAAATAGAATGTCTAACTGGATTGAACTCGGGATTTGACCTCTTCTTCTTAAGTAAAATAAATCGGGAGACGTCGTGATGTCTCCCCTCCTTAAAAGGCGGTAAGTACCCTATTGAATTGAATTTAAAAGGAGTGATGCTCTTCTCTTAGAAAGAATAATTATTATTGTTTAGTCTCACTCTCTTTCCCCATTACATTTAAAATTTCGTCCCTTAAACACGGTGATTCACTCATTTTTATATTAATTTATCTCCTTATAAACGAAAGTTTCAATTTAGTAATTCAATTGAAATTTATTTTCGTCGCAATTACATCTGTTTTTTGATGTAATCGAATATTCTTGTGAATTTTATAATTTTTGTATACTTTTCTTTTTATTTGTATAAAGAAATTTTAATTTAACAATTTTATTTTTTATCGTTGAACTCGCAGATATAATGTTTTAATATTATAGCAGGAATACTGCAGGTCAGGGAAATCAGAAAAATGTCGGACAATTTTATCAAAAGTACTGGAAAAAACCAAATTATTTTTAAAAATAATAAAATTAATTGCAGAAATTCAAGTATTTTCTAAAATATTTTAATACAATTTCTAGAAATAATACAATCATTTTTTAAAACTTGAAATAAAATTTTTTGCTAGGATTTAATTCTTACCAAAGGTAATAAAATTCTTTTCAAGAATTTTATTATTATCATAAATAATAAAATTCTTCGAAGGAATTCATTTATATTCGAAAATTTTAATAAAATTCTTTAAAGAAAATCAATTTTCAAAAATGAATAAAATTTTTCGAATGAATTCCATTCTTTTAAAAAAATTATCATAAAATTCTTTGCAAGAATTCAATTAGCTTCATAAAAAAAATTTCACAAAAAATTCAATTATTTTCATAGATAATAAAAATATTCGAAAAATTTCAATTATTTTTAAAACTAGAGAAAATTCTTCAAAATAATTCAATTACTTTCATAGATAATAAAATTCGTCGCAAGAATTCAATTATTTTCAAATATAATAAAATTTCTCTAAGAAATTCAATAATTGTTTTAAACAATATTATTAAAATTCGTGGAAAAAATTCCATTTTTTAAAAAATTTTATAAATATTCTTCGGAGAAATTCAATTATTTTTATAAATAATAAAATTCTCTTGAGAAATTCAATTACTTTCAATACAATTTCAATAGAACTTTTTCGAAGAAATTCAATTATTTTAACAAATATTAATAAAAGTATTGAAAAAAATTTAATTACTTTTATAAATAAAATTCTTCGGAGAAATTCAATTACTTTTATAAATAATAAAATACTCCTGAGAAATTCAATTATTTTCAGTACAATTTTTATAGAATTATATTTGAATAAATTCAATTTTTTTCAAAAATTTTAATAAAAATCTGCGTAACAATTCAATTATTTTTAAAAATAATAAAATTTCTCTAAGAAATTCAAGTATTTTTAAAAATATTATTAAAATTCATGAAAAAATTCAATTATTTTAACAAATATTAATAAAATTTTTTAAAAAAATTCAATTATTTTCAAAAATTTTATTAAAATTCTACGAAAGAAATGAAATATTTTCGAAAACTGAATTAAAATTCTTCGCAAGAATTCAATTATTTTCAGTACAATTTTAATAGAATTTTTTTGTGAAAAATTCAATTTTTTTTACAAATATTAATAAAATTCTTTAAGAAAATTCAATAATTTTCATAAATTTTAATAAAATATTCTGTTTGATTTCAATTATTTTCGAAAAATCTGATAAAATTCTCCAAAGGATTGAATTATTTTCAGTATAATTTAATTAAATTCCTTGAAAAAGTTTAATTATTTTTAAAGATTTTTAATTAAATTCTTTGAAACAATTCAATTATTTTCATATTTTCAATAAAATTCTTTACAATATTTAAATTATTTCAGTTTCGAAATTAGAGAACTTAAAATTATAATAGTTACTAATATTACTATTGTAATTTAAAGTTTTCTAATTTCGAAACTAAATCATAATATTTCAGTTCTATTGTTAAAAACGAATTGAATTTAAAAAACAAACAATTGAAATTTTTGAAGTTACCTAAAATTCTATTTAAAATAATTGAATATTTGTATGCATTTTCTTGAAGCTCTGGAAAATAATTGAAGGAAGTACGGCACAATAATTAATTTAATATCCGAACGTAGGTAGACGTGTTTTAAAATTGAAGCTTTGCCTCTAAAAATTATCTTCTTTTCTATAATTGAACTCTTTATTTTTTTTATTAGAAATCAGGGCAAAAGTCGAATTTCAGTCTCGAAATCAGGGAAAAACAAAATCAAATTTTCGTAATAATAATCCTGTAAGTGAACTATTAAATTATTATTATTTATTATACACGTTCATGCCTTTCGGCTTTGAACGAGTATTAAATTATTACGATTTAATATTGAATCGATTTTCATTTTTCTTTTCGCTACAAAATATTGAGTCATATTTAATGCTGACATTAATTGAATTAACGAATAGAATTTTTCTCAATTGAAAATAATTTTTACACGAAAACTAATTGAAAATTGATTTTTTTTTCTTTTTTGCTTCGAAATGAAAAAAAAATTGAAGGAATTTTCATGCTAGTAATTGAAGGGAATTTTTTTTCTTTTTCTTTTTTTTGTTTTGCTTCAAAGGAGTCTTGGCGGAGTCACTTAATTCCCATGTGTTGCTTTCAGAATCTGCTATTAAATCTGAGATAGGGTATCGTCCATAGGAACGGAGGCCTTGTTGAACGAAGTAGCAAAACGACGAGTAAGGAGTTAATGGCATTTTAGGCATGGCTTCTTGTTAAAAGACTTCTGGTATATAGTGTCGAGGTCTAGGTCAAGTTATTTTCGTCACCTGTACTCTCTCGGTATATATCTATATATTTAAACCTGTCAGATATCTGGCATATGTATCGAAACAAATTATGGATTACTGGTAAAAGAGAAACAGAGAGAGAGAGAGAAAGAGAGATTTGATCCAAGCTGATTCATTCAAGCATAATCCGTATTTATAGTCGGTTTTTGTTGATGACCGTGATACGTTGAGAACAATTCCCATAAAAATTACTATTAAAAAAAAGAGAATCTTTTCTAAAAATCGCAAAAGTGTTTTTTTATTTTCGTGATTTTTAGAAAAGATTCTCTTTTTTTATGAGTATTTTTTTTTTGTTTCATTACATAACGATTGTGTGAAGGATTTTGGGAAGGAAAATTTTTTTAAAAATAGAAGTACTCACTTCCGTGGGACTAAAAATAAAGTAATTGTTTAGACAATCGATTAACCATCTGTATTACAAATATCGTAAAAAGAGGCGCGAGCATTGTGATAAAGTAGAATTTAAAACATTTGAAAAACATGAGAAATTGAGGCCCCTCGGAGAATTGAGACTTTTTTATTTGTTGTTTCAATGTAAGAAATAGGTACATCTGGTTTTCATTTCTTAAACTTCTTTTAATCGGACTGCTAGTGACGAAGTTTTTACTGTACACACCTACAATGTTGATTTTAGTGTCTTAAAATATTTTTCCTGTCATAATATAAAAACTATTCATCCGGTATGAATAGCTCTAAGTTTTTTAAAAATCATATTTCAATCATATAGCCTTCGCACTCATCTAGTAAAAACCTACTATTTACTACTTTTTTTTACATTATACTATTTGGGTACTTTTTTTTAGATTTCAGCCACTAAAAGCTACTATTTCTGTTTTTTCTTCTTTTTTAAGAATTTCCACTACTTTAAATTCGCTAATACTAAAAATAAAAAACTATTCTCAAAAATGATAATCAAATTCTTTCAAACGATTTAATTAGTTTCAAAAAATATTCGAAATTCAATTATTTTCAATATCTACAGTATTTTCATCAAATTTCGCAAAAGAATTCAATTATTTAAAAAAAATTGATAAAATTCATCTAAAATTCAATTATTTTCTATAAATAATAAAATTTTCACAGGAATTTAATTATTTTTTTAAATAATAAAATTCCTCTAATAAATACAATTATTTTCAAAAATTTTAGTAAAATTCTTCGAAGAAATTCAATTATTTTTATAAATAATAAAATTCTCCTAAAAAATTCGATTATTTTCAATACAATTTTAATAGGATTTTTTGAAAAAAAAATTCATTATTTTAACAAATATTAATAAAATTCTTGAAGAAATCCAATTATTTTAGAATAAATAGCATTTCTAAAGAAATTTCAAAAAAATAAATTTATTAACAAAATTTTTATACAATTTTTAACAATAATCCAATTATTTTGTTATAAATATAATAAAATTCTTCTCAGGAATTCAATTATTTATAATTTATGTTTGATAAAAATTTTCGCATGAATTCAATTATTTTTATAAATAATAAAATTCTCATGAGAAATTTAATTATTTTCAATACAATTTTGATAGAATTTATTGGAAACAATTATTCAATTATTCTCAAAAATTGTAATTAAAATCTTCGTAAGAATTCAAATATTTTGTTATAAATATAATAAAATTCTTCCGAAGAATTCAATTATTTTTAAAAATAATAAAATTCCTCTAAGCGACTCAATAATTTTTAATACAAATTTTAATAGAATTTTTTTAAAATATTCAATTATTTTAACAAATTATTATTAAAAAAATTCAATTATTTTCAAAAATGTTATTAAAATTCTTCGCAATTATTAAATCATTATTAATGCAATTTTAATAAAATTCCTGGAAAGACATTTGATGTTTTCGAAAACTTTATTAAAATTCTTCGAAATAATTCTATTATTTTCAATACAATTTTTTTAAACAAATATTAATAAAATTCTTAAAGAACATTCAATTATTTACAAAAATATTAGAATTTTTCACAGGAATCCAATTATTTTTCAATATTTTAATAAAATTGTTCGAAAGAATTCAATTATTTCGATAAATAACAAAATTATTCCCGAAAATTCAATTATTTTGAGGCATTTTAATAAAATTCTTTTAAAAATTCAATTATTTTCATATTGAACAATATTCATCACAAGAATTCAATTATTTTAAAAAGTAATAAATTTTTTCTTGAAAATTTGTTTTAAAAAATTCTAATAAAATCGTTGGTAAGAATTCAATTATTTTCATAAATAATAAAATAATTTTTAGAAATTTAATTATTTTCAAAAAAATTTAATAAAATGACACACAGACATTCAATTATTCTCAAAAATTTTAATAGAATTCTTTGTAAAATTTGATTATTTTTAAAAACTTTTCACAATTCAATGATTTTCAATATCTACTATTTTCATAAAATTTCCAAACAGAATTCAATTATTTAAAAAAAATTTTATATAAATCTTCGTAAGAATTCAATTTTTTTCATGAATTTGAAAAATTTCTTAGTAATTCAATTATTTAAATTAGAATTTGCATAAAATTAGTCGAAAAAAATCAATTGTTTAAAAATTTTTCTAGAATTCTTCGCAAAAATTAAATTATTTTTTTAAATATTTAAATTCTTTCAATGAATAATAAAATTCGTTGTAAGGAATTCAATTTATTAACAGGATAAGAAAGAAGTAAATACTTTTTTCATGAAAATTAGGAAAAAGTCAGTAAAATAAAATATAGAATGGAATTTTTGTCAGTTTTGTAAAGTGTCTAAAACGAGTTTTTTTGGTCGTCAAGTTTAATTTTTCGATAGCTACTTTTTTACTACTTTTTTTTAGTTTGAAAGCTACTCTTTGCTACTTTTTTAAAAATAATTATCGAGTGCGAAGTCTGCAATCATCTTCGGCTTCTTCTTCTTCTTCTTCTTCTTGTATAAATTTTTAAATACAATTTTCTTTTTCTTTTGCAGTTGAAGGAACAATATTTTTCGTGATGATCTTAATAAGAAGATTACATTGAGATGAGAATTTTGTTTGCAAGAAGGGAGAATAATTCCTTACTGTTTGATAATAATCATTCCGAAGGAAAGTGAAGACATCGAGGTGTGAAATAATTAGATCTTATTGCAATTCTGCTGGCGCTTCTAATTCAAGACAGGACGTATCATATGACATGACAGGATAATCTTCTCGCCTATGATTATCCAATCAACTTCCATATTTATCTGTATCTTTCTTCGTTTTTTTTTTCTTTTCGTTTTACCACTTGATAATGTAAAACTGCATTTATAATATCGTTTAGACGATTCGAAAAGGGAGAATGCAATTAGACGAAATCACGTAAATCCATTTTAACAGGCCTGGTTGTATACTTTATACATGTACGTATAAAGGCAAAAAAAAGCGCGAGAGCAACTGGATAAATATCAAAATGAAATACGAGCTGTCGCCGCGGGTAACATTAAAGATAACGAGACAGAATTTTTTTTTTTTTTACTATTTTTTTCCTCTGTATTTAGATTGAACATTACACCAAGTGATCTTGAACTTGAACCTTGGTGAAAATTTTTCTTACGCCTTTGATTCCACCGTATATAATCTACCCAAGTCATACAAATTTATTTTCTTTATCAAGCATCTTTGATTTTATCACAAAATTGTATCTTGTGCATTTTTGTGTTATTGGAATTTATTAAGACAGTCGCCAAAGACAAGAGATAAGGAGCTTCTTTTTCACTCCAAATGAGAATCATTTTCTGGGGATGAGAATTTTCGGAATTGGTTTTACTTCTTCTTTAGTAAATTAAATGTTTTCTTATGGCTTGACTTCTTTGACTTCTTTCACTCTTCTTCAATTTGTTCTACTTTTTCTGTTGGAAATAGCATACTTATATTACTAATAATACATTTTATTAGGTTTTTTGAAAATAATTGAATTCATTTAAGAAATTTTATTAAAATTAAATCAAAAATAAATTAATTCTTGAAAAAAATTTTATTAATATTTTTCAAAATATTTGGATTCTTTCGACAAATTTTTCTTAAATTTTATTGAAAATAATTTAATTTTTGAGAAGAATTTTCTTAATAGTTTTAAAAATAATGGAATTCTTTTGACAAATTTTATTCAAATTTCATTGAAAATAATTGAATATTCTTTTAAGAAATTTGATTAAAATTAAGTCAAAAATTAATTAATTCTTAAAAGAAATTTTATTAAAAATTAAATAAAAAATAAATTAATTCTCGAAAAAAATTTCTTCGAATTTTTTTAACAGAATGAAGTTTTTTATTTTTTTAATAATTTTAATTGAAAATTTTGAATGCAATTGAATTCAACAAAAAAATTTCTTCCACTTTTTAAAATATTCGTAATTATTAATAATTGTAATTAAAAATATGATTATTGGATTTTTTATAAAAAATTTAACTATTTGGAAAAATTTTATTAGAATTTATGAAAATGACTAAATTTTTATGAAGAATTTCCTTTAAGATTTTAAAATAGTCGTGCTTTTTAATATTTTTAATTAAAAAATTTGATGGATTATTGAAATTTATTACATTTTTTAGGAAATAATTGAAATTTTCTTCGAATTCTTCGAAAGAATTCAATTATTTTCAAAAACAATAATATTTTTAAAAAAATTTAATACAAATTTTCACAAGAATTCAATTATTTTCATAAATAATAAATTTTCTCTTATAAATTCAATAATTTAAAAAAATTGTAATTAAATTCGAAGATTTCAATTATTTTCTAAATATTCTAAATTTTTTGAAAATAATTCAATTAATTTCGAAAATTTAATAAACATTTTTTTAATTTCGTTTTTAAAAAATATTTTATCAAATATTGTATTGATGAATTTTGTGAATAATTGAATTCTTACTATAAATTTTATTAATATTTGTAAAAATAATTGAATTTTTTCAGAAATTCTATTGGAAATAATTGAATCTCTTATTAGAGAAATTTTATTAGGTATTTTTAAAAATAATTGAATTTCTCCGAAGAATTTTATTAAAATTTTTGGAAATTATTGAATTTTATTAATATTTTTTAAAATAATTGAATTTTAAAAAAATTCTATTAAAATTGTATTGAAAATAATTGCATTTATGCGAAGAATTTTATCAAAATTTTCGAAAATATTTAATTTTTTTTGATGAATTTTATAAGAATTCTTTAAAATAATAAAATTCAATTAAGAAATTTTATTAAAATTGTATTTAAATTAATTGAAATTCTCCGAAGAATTTTATTAAAATTTTTGAAAATAATTGAATATTTTCCAAGAATTTTGTTAGTATTTGTTAAAATAATTGAATTTTTCCATTAAATTCTATTAAAACTATTGAAAATAATTGAATTTCTCAGGGGAATTTTATTGTTTATAAAAATAATTGAATTCTTTTTCTTGAGAAAAATTTTATTAAACTTAAATTAAAAATAATTGCCTTTTTGCGTAGATTTTTATAAAAATTGTTAAAAATAATTGAATGATTTCTATGAATTTTATTATATTTTTAAAAAAATAATTGAATTCTAACGAATAATTTCATTAAAATTTTTAAAAAAGAATTGTTTCCATGAATTTTACTAAAATATTAAAAAATAATAGATAATAAGAATTTATTAGTTAAGTTTCTAGTTTTTTGAAATCTAAAATTATTCAAAAACTAAAGTTGATAATTGAAAAATTTGTAATTTTTTCACGCGCGTAATATTTGCTGGTATTATTTAACAATACACTAAATATTAATCTTGTAAGTTAATAAACATTTCTAAATATTATTTTACAATATACAATGTTTAATATTGTAAGTAATTATTTTGTAATGACAAGTATAATGTAATAGCAATTACGTAATAATGTTTAGCTTGAAAAAAAAATAATAATGTATTGTTTCTTTTGCAGGGTTAAATTATTATGTGCTTGAATGCTGACCGGAATTTGAAGAGCTAGAGACAAAAAAGAGCACAAGAGCAGTTTACATAGTAACCCAATCAGGAAGAATTGCTGAATGAGTCAGAGACAAATTGTCTACCATTTCTGTTAGTCTTCAACTGCTATATACTTTCTCGCACTTCGATTTCCTTTGTCAATTATCTTCTTAAACCTCCAGTTGTTCCGAGGTCAAAAGCTAAACTCAAAAGGTTAGCAGTGACAAAGTTTATTTTTATCAATTTTCTTCAATATTGCCGCAAATTTTTCCTTTTTAGATTTCAAATTCTTCTTCTATAAAGAAGAAAAAATATAATGAATTAATTAATTATGTTTAATTACGAAAATAAATTAATTAACTAATTTTGCTATAATGAAAAAGTTCTCGGAATTAGGGTGAATTTTTCGCGCTTCAAAAAGATCTCTCGGAATTCTTCTCAAGAATTTTATGCACCAAGGGGCATTAAAAAAATTGAAAGGTTGGGCGAACAAGGTCTTGGGTTTCTAAAGTAACGCTTTTACTCATTAAGAGAATAATAATTTTCAAAAACCTGTTTTCAAAATGTGATGAATTATAAGCGTATAAACCGTACAAAATAAATTCCACAAATCAGGAAAATTGCATAAACATATTTAGAAAAAAAATAATTTAAAACATTTTCGATTTTTTATTCTCTTGAGATATTTTTTTTTTGTCAGTAGGTATAAATGTCAGATTAGTGTTTGTTCTATTATTCAGTAAAAAAAATGAAGTGGGTCTCAAGTTGAAATGACAAGTAGAAAAAAAAATTGTATAAAGTGGGTATTATAAATGAATAAATGAAAAAAGTATGTTTGAAGAAATTGAAAAAAAAATCTCGAGCTTCCTACACTTGGAAAAGAAATCATTAATATTAATTGTGATTCATTAATATTATTAAATTATACGCTGTCACGAATCACAGTCTCAAGTATCTAATCTCTCTCTTTACGTATTTACAATCTTTTGACATTAGCCGCTTGATCATATCGGCGATTATGATTTCTGTTTTTGGGAAGACTTGTTACTTTAAATATATCTGAAAAGAGTATTTATCAATATTATAATGTTTTATTAACATTATTAATCAAATCGATTTCTAAAATCTTTTTTTCAAAAATTGTCAGTTTATTAAAATTTCCGTATTGAGATCGTAAAGAAGAATTAAAATTTCTATTACTAGATTCTTGAGAAGAAACTTTTAATATTTCAATTATTAATAAAAAATTGTTTATAAATTTTTATCATAATATAAAAATAGACTTATTACGAAAAATGTTAATAATCAATGTGTGAGAAAGAGTTGTGAAAAAAACAAGTATTGTATTGTTATCTCGGATATTTTTATTCTCATTGGCAATATTAATTGAAACGTAATTAAAATCTTATTAAATATGAAGAATTTGAAAAGATTGCATTTTGCAATTTTATATTTAGAACCCCTATGGTGCGGAAAGTTTTCATTGCCCACGTAAGGCAACGCCCACATAATTTATACCTCCCTTTCTTTTTATTCATTAATTATACCTATATACTAATTCTAAATTTCTGTTTCTGATTAGAGATTGATTAGAAACTTTGTATATGCAAATGATGATTTTTCTGCTAAATGGATTTCACGACATCAACTTTTCTCAAATTCTGTTTAATATTATAAATATATTCACTTATGCATTATCAGTGTATATTGACTGATAGTGTGAGAAAATTGACAATTAAAAAAACAATTTACTTCATGAATTAAATATGAGAATTATATTTTCAAGTCTTCTTGAAATTGAAAAGAGAAATTTATTTTGTGATAAATTTTTTAAAAAATGAAACATTTCTTAATTTCGGGGACAATTTTTATTTTCTTTTTTTTCAGTAGAAAAATCAGTTTTTATGAAAAAAAGATCGAAATTGAAATTTAAAATTTCAAGAATTTTTTGGAGAAGTTGCAAATAACTGCAGAAATTTAATTATTTTAAAAAGTAATGAAATTCTTCGTAGAAATTTAATTATGTTCAAATAATTAAAAAAATTCTTGACAAAATTTCAATTATCTAAAATTCAATTATTTTTCAAAAATTTTAAGAAAATTCTTGGCCAAATTTTAATTAATTTCAAAAATTTTCCTCAATTCAATGATTTTAAATATCTATTTTAATAAAATTTTCACAGGAATTTAATTAATGTAAAACACAATTTTCATAAAATTTTTCAAAAAAATAAATTATTGAAAATGATTTTTATAAAATTCTTCACTAGAATTCAATTATTTAATTAAAAAAGTTTAGTAAAGTTCTTCGTAAGAATTCAATGATTTTGAATAATTTTAATAAAATTCTTAGCAAGAACTCAATTATTTTCAAAACTGAATTTAATTCTTCGAAATAATTCCATTATTCTTAACAATATTAAAAATTCTTCGCAGCATTTAAATTACTTTTATTACAATTTTAATTAAATTCCTCGAAAAAAATCCAATTACTTTTTCAAATTTTATTAAAATTCTTTCGAAAGAATTTAATTATTTTTGTAAATAGCAAAATTCTTTGTAGAAAATAGAAATTCAATTATTATCATAAATAATGAAATTCTTTTGAATAAATTCAATCATATTCAAAAACTTTAATAAAATTCTTTAAAGAAAACTTATTTTGAAAAACAACAATAAAATTCTTCGCATCAATTCAATTATTTTCAAAACTGAATTAAATTCTTCGAAATAATTCAATTTTTAAAAAATTTTTTTTATAAAATTCTTCGCAAGAATTCAATTATTTTCATAGATAATAAAAATATTTCAAAGAATTGAATTATTTTCAAAACTTTTAATAACATTTTTCGATGCCATTCAATTATTTAAAAAAATTTTCATAAATAATAAAATCTTCACAGAAATTTAATTTTTTTTAAATAAAGTTCTTCGTAAGAATTCAATTATTTTTGAAAATTTTAATAAAATTCGGTGCAAGAATTCAATTATTTTCAATTCAGTTTGAATACAATTTTTCGTAAGAATTCAATTATTTTAACAAATATTAATAAAATTCATGGAAAAAATTCAATTATTTTCAAAAACTTCCCTCAAATCAATGATTTCCACTATATTACTATTTCAATAAAATTTTCCAAAAGAATTCAATTATTTAAAAAAATTTTTAATAAAATTCTACGCAATAATTTAATTATTTTCAATATAACAAAACTTATTGCAGATTTTCAATTATTTTAAATAAATATTTTAAATTCGTTAAAAGAATTCAATTATTTAAAAATTTGTTTATAAAATTCTTAATGAGAATTCAATTATTGAGAAACATTCAATTCTTCAATAAATTATTTTGTATTTTTGTATTTAAATAATTTAATTTTCGTAGAATTTTTTAATAGCAATTAATTTAAAAATGAATTTTAGTTAAAATTTTATAAAATAATTGAATAAAATTACAAGTATTTTGGCGTGAATTTTTGGAAATAATTGAATTTTGAAAAGGTTTAAAATTAAAATTTTTGAAACTTTAAATTTAAAACTTTTCATACTTCTAACTAACAATTCTGAAGAATTAATTTTTATGGAAAAGTTTAATTGAATTTTTTTAAAAATTATTTGAAGTTTTTATTTTCAAATATATATTTAGTTGAAGAATTTCCGAATGATCGATGAAATTTCGCAAAATTGAATTGTCAAGAAATGGTTTTGAAAATTCTGAAAGAACTTTTTCTTTAATGATTAAAAATAATTGATTTAAAGAAGAATTTTGGTTTAAAATTTTGGAAAATAGTAATTGAATTGAAATGATGAAAATAGTTTTGAAGAAGTTAGAGTAACAATATTTTTATAATATAAAATAATAATTTTATCACTCTTTAATCTCTAATTATAATAAAACATGAAGAAATCGATTATCCGAGTCTTCCGATTTCTTTATTTTTTTTTTTTTTATGAAAAAATTAATTTATAGTTTTAAGTAAAATGTTCTCTTATTATTATTTTTATTTTTATTTCCTTATTATTTGACTCGGACTGGTTATATTTTTGTCAATAATTGATTCGTAATTTTTCATTTTTGGTTTCAAAAAGTAATTTTTTTGTCTTTAAATCGAATGGTAAATGAAAATCGTTTTTATTTTTCCACAGGTCACCATATGCAGTGCAAGAAGACGAGGCGAACTTTTAAAAAACAAACCAAGTTGATAAAAGAATTGGAGTGTTCGATGAAAGCTCAAAACCAGACTTTGAGAGAGAACAAGAGTCAAATCAGACATTTAAAAAAAATGAGAAGACGAATCGAGTAGTGAGATTGGAGTAGATTATCATGTAGTATACAAGTACGTGTATAAATAACACAATATCTAGAGATAAAAGGAGAATTCTGCAGGCGTTCGCGTTCAGAAATGGAAAAGAAATTGTACGATTGGCGCCAAACGTTTCTGGGACCCGGAGGTCATCGAATTGGAAAAGTGGATGATGCCTTCAGGATACTATATCTTTTCAAAACTGTCAAAAAAAAAGAGAAGAAGAAGAAGAGGAAAAAATATCGCACGATTATCATATACTGATTCATGAATAAAAGCTTGAGGAACGACAGGACTTTCAAGATCAATTATACGGCTGTTACACCATAACCGGCTATGCAGATGCATCCTCCATGTTGCAGGGATGCTCTGTATGATGCTCTTTACTCGTTGTGGCATGCATGTCAGTTCTTGGAAGCACTTCGGGTCAAGATATTTAAATATTTACGAGGCGTCAAAAATTTTGTGGTCCACTCCACGAGAGCTCTTTTACTTGAATTGAAAACCTGATAAAATCAAAGCCGCACAAAAAAACAGACACGATTTCTTCACTTCGATTTTTTTCGTAATCGGAAAAATTGATTGATGGATGCATTTTATCAAATATAAAGGTAAAGAAAATTATTTAACAACTCTTTTTTATCAATTTGATTACATTTTCTGCTGATAATATTTTTTTTCTATTGAAAAAAAAAATGTTCGATTGACAAACTTTCTATAAAATTGTGAAAAAAAAAATAGAAAGGTAAATATTCCCTCGGCAATCATTTACATTTATGAAGACATTATAAATGCAAAGTGTAAAAAAATACTTTGATTTCATTACTGTATCCAATCGATTTTATGAAGTCTTAGCAGGTTCTTGAACAGCTTGAAGCCGATAAAAGATGGAAATTAAATGGCTCGTAAAATTATCAATGATTTAGAATTTGTGTGATGGCAAAAAAAAAAAAAAAGAGAAAGATTCACACATAATCATTGTTGGCTAATACAACGTTAATTGCACAATAAATTATTTCAAACTCGTAAAGTTACAATTTTTCCAATGGATTATTGAATAGTATCATTAAAATCAGTTTCCCCTCTACTGCGAAAAACAATGCGAATCTCGATTTTTTTGCGATAAAACAATGACTTTATATTCAATTAAAAGAGGAGAAAAAAAATATTAACGATACTATTGTATTGTCAAGAGGAGAATTTTTTTCCAAAATGCAAAGGAATTTCGAAAATTTACCGAGACAATGATAAGAGAAAATTTATACTTTTTTCTTACTTTTTTTTAAGATCAATGAACGCTTTCAAGAGAGAAAAAGATTAGATAATGAAATTTACATAATTTTATTATTCCTACTTCCGGATGTAACTCACATAATAACGAAGAAAAAAATCTAAATATGATAAAAATAGTCCTCATTTGCAAATGCGGCGAAACTTGATGAAATCACAATCGAAACTAAATATAGAACTAGTGCCAAATTAGAAAAGAGTGCGATTATTAAAAAAAATACAGTCTTCGCTTTTTTTAGAAACTTGAGTAATTAAAATTTTTAATTTAACGAATTGAAGGTTTTAATTTAATGAATTAGAGGTTTTAATTTAATGAATTGAAACTGAATTCATAAAATTAGTCCTAATTCTCATTAAAGGATTTTAATTTGAAATATGTATTTTGTAAATGAGAAATTAGATTTTTCAGAGGTGAATTTAATTTTTAATGAAGATGCACAAGTTATGATTCCGAAAATGAAATAATTTATATTTCACGTAGGCGGAAGGATCTTTAAATTTCTCGGATTCAGGTTTCATTCCCGCGGAATGTTGATGCACTTGCGTTTTAAATTAGTATCATCCTATGGAGAGGAGGATATGTATAACTACCGCTCTAAAACAAAACGTGTGTAACTGCAAAATCTATCTTTACGCACGATTCATATCACCTTTACAACTTCGAAAACGAAATTACCTCGTAACTGATATTTTGTTTCAATCCTCATTTTTCTTTTTTCTTTTTTTTTTTTTTTGTAAAGTTCGTTTATATTTTCCTGATAATAAATTATCGATCTTTTAACATCATTAGAGAAAATTCATCAAAAGATTTTTTATAATTTATTTATTTACCATAAAAATAAATAATTTATACAATATATTTTTTGATAATTTATTTATTTAACATAAAAATAAATAATTTATACAACAATATATTTTTTTATAATTTATCGAAAATTATTCAATTTTTCGAGAGATCAATCAATTTTTTTGCACGATTTATAGAAAGTTTTCGTTAATTTTTAATTACGATCGGCAATGATAAAAATGTTTCGCAAAAAAATCGAAAAAGTTATTTTTCTTCTATTTAGAACTTAAAAATTGTTTTCAAGAGGAAAAAAATATTTCAACTGGTATTGTGGACAGAATAGAAAATAAATTATTATCAGCAGAAAATGTAATCTATTCTAAGGAAAAGAAAATGAATTTAATTCGAAAAATCGTATTTGTGAAAATCTATTTTAAATTAAATATTAAATTCGAAAATTACAGTAAAATTACGTCAATGAAGTTGAGGTTTTTTTAATCAACAAGATTGAAAGAAAGAAATATTTTTTTTACAAAGAAACAATAGACATTTTTTGTTCATATTTTTGTAAATTATTTTTCAAAAAATCAAGTGAAATTTTATATAAGTTTAAGTCGAAAAATATTTTTTTTTCTAATTTGTTGATTATAAATTTTGTAAACTTCACTAATGTGCAAATTAAATTTAATGATAAAATTGGGGGAAAAAATTAAGTTTCAGATCCAATGGCAATAGAAGACGTGAAACAGAAATTACACCGAGGGAAAATTTTTATTAAATTTAGTAAAAGTATTTTGCAAATTAGGAGAAAAGTGCGACAAAGACAAATTTTGATATAAAAAATACTAAACTTTCAAAAAAAAAAAACGAATGTAAAATTTAGTTATAATTATATCAAATATCGAGAATATTAATTAAATTTTAATATAACTTTACTATTTTACATAAGTTTTTTTTTAAAGTTTAGTATTTTCTATATTGAAATTTCGCATTGTTATAAAACTTTTTCCCTAATTTGTAAAATACTTTTACACTATGTAATTTAAATTCTCTCTCCGTGTATAATATTCAAAAATGGGAAGAAGTTTAAAAACCACAAAAAAATACGAAAAATATAGATTTAGATTTACGAACTACAAAGGTTTTACAGATTTAGGTTCAACCAAACGTAAAAACTAATAATACCGCAAACTAGAATTCGCAAAATTGCAGACGACAAAGATAAAAATATATACTTTTGAGTGTAGAGTAATAAAAAAGATACGTATTTAATAATTATACAAATAAATATTAATAATAATAATAAAAATAGAAATACTAATAATAGAAATAATAATGGAAATAATAAAATAGAAATAATAAAACAATAAAGATTAAAAAATTTAAGAAAATAATTGTATTTTTAATTAAAATTGTATTGAAAATATTTTTAATTCTCATGAAGAATTGAATCAAAATTTTCCACAAGATTTGCATTTTTGCGAAGAATTTTAATAAAATTTGCCAAAATAATCGGATTTTTTCGAGGAATTTAATTTTAAATTATAATAAAAATAATTGAAATCCTGTGAAGAATTAAAAAATATTTGCCTAAATAATTGGATTTTTTCAAGGAATTTAATTTAAAATTGTAACAAAAATAATTGATATCCTGCGAAGAATTTTATTAAAGTTTTGGAAAAACAATAATTAATTAGTAAATTAGTTAATAATTAAGTTTTTCTAAATTTCAAATCTGATATTATTCCGAAATTAATTGAAAATAAAAAAAATTTTTAATTTGCATTATAATAATAAATAAATAAGGAAATAAATGTCTTCTTGACAAAGTAAAATGAAAAACGAAGAATAATGAAAGAAAAAAGAGAAGAAAAGAAAAAATATGTGAAGAGCTGAGAAGTTTGAAATCGAAATGACAAAAGTTGTGTGCGGAAATTTTATTAACTCAAATAAATTAAAGAGGTGCAACAGACTGCAACAAACTGTCCGAATTTATGATCCGTGTCTAAAATATTATGTGATCCAACAGTGTGTTCCATTTCGGAGAAATGAAGAACAGATAAGAAAATGGGCTCTCATAAAAAGGTTATTTTGTTCGCGCTTAATACACTACTTTTGAAATGTTTTTGGTTTGCGAGGAGAGCAAGGCACTTGTGCATACTGGTAGCAAAAGCGGGAGACGTCTGGCGATAACTTAAGAATCACGTTAGACAGACATAATCTTTATATAAATTTTCAAAAGGGCTATTTTGCTAAAAGTTTACATTTATAAACGAAACGAGGGAAAATAGATTCTCCCCCCCTTTATATCCAGATTATATTATGTGCTTTAACGATTATAACTTTATGGGGAGCTATATTTTACTCCAAAGGCTACTCTATATATCTAAATGGGTGTACATTACACCTCACCATCTAAAGTGCCCAGATCACAAAGTTTAGAATTTTTTTTTTCCCCATTCTTCACTTTGATGGGGAATTTTATTTCTATTCTATTTATTGCCATTTTTATTTCTATTCTATTTATTGCTATTTTTATTTTTATTTCTTTTTCGTATTTTTTTTTTATTGATATTTCTAGGCGAGAAGGAATAAAATTAAAAAATAAATAAAAGTAGCGAATAAAAAGTAATAAAATAATAAAATAGAAGAATAAAATAAAATAAGAAACTAAATAGTAAAATAGTAAAATAAAAAATAATAAAATAGACAAACAAGAAAATAATAAAATAATAGAAAAAATGCCCAAAAATCAAAAAATGGTAATAAGCAGTGAAAAATAAAAACGATAAAGTGTATAAAATAAGAAAGAGAATTAGCAAATGTTGAAATTCACCTGCTTCTTTCTCAACGCGGAGCTTGTTCTTGAATTATCCATTGAAGGTGAATTAAATAATGAAATAAAAATCATTTGTTATTTAATCATAATTGACTGATACCGAGAATTAAAAAAAATTTTTTTTTTTAATATTCATTGTGAGTTAATAATTATATTTTTTTCCGAGAAAGTCCTTATATATTTGTGTCAACTATATATGTAATTGTTTTGCATTGTCAGATCATATACAATGTTTGTTTTCTTGTTTTGATAAACAATAATCAACTCATGCAGTTCTTTTTTATCGCGAAATTAACATTTTTTTTGCATGTGAAAAAAAAATTTATCTCCAATTTATAGAGTAATGTTTTTTAGTAATTATTTTACTATTGAAATAATAGTTCAAATAATAATAGTAATAGTAATAATATTAACTTCATTATATTAACTTTATTATATTAATAATGTCAACTATTATTTTCAATAGTAAAATAATTACTAAAAAAATAATTAAAATTTATTTTATTTCTAATAGGAAATAAATTATTTCTAATTAAATTTATTTTTTCTAGTTGAATTTATTTTTTCTAATTGAATTCAATTTTTTCCTTATAGGTGAAGAAACAAGTGGTACTTTTGAAACAAGGTAATGTCTCTTTGAATGAAAGTAAGAGTTCCATTGTTTGCGAATGAATTACAATAATGTCAGGACTAATTCCCGTTTTGTTGCAGGAAGGGAACAATATCTCATTGTCGCCTAGTTCACATTTATTTAAATTTGACATACGCATCTGTAAGTTTGCTGAATAGTGTTTCATAATCCGGAAGATATTTGCGTATACTTAGAGAGAAGAAAGAAGAGAAAGAGAGACGAAGAAGAAAAATGAAAAGGAGGATAGAAAAAAGAATAAAAGAAGCCCACACACTATCAGTTTTGTCTTATGCAAATAATGTAAATTGTGTACGAACAAAAAAAAATATTGAGGAGGGAGGATACGATCTTTGCGTACGAAAAGAGATATGGCACTACTGGCATTGACGACCCACGTTTTTCTTATTCAGTCTCAATATATGAAGTGACACGTTGACAACTCTTTTAATTTAAAGCTGATTAGACCACGAGTAAGGAAAAAAAATTTTTTACCTTTAATTGTTTCTGAAATGATTCTAAAAATTATCGTTTTTCATTTATCAAAATTTTCTTTTTTTTTTTTAATTAATTTTTCTCTTTTAGAATTTTTCTGGATTTTTTCTTGGAGCGAGGGAGGAAGAAAGAATGAATGAAATTTGATGAAAAAAGTACGATAAAGAAGTTGTTACCTTCTGCCTCAGAGTGGGTGAGTGGAGAACGTAAATTACAAAAGCTGCACCTTCACAATCTTGGCGAACGTACTCGGAAGAATCGAAGGAAGACGTGCGAGAATACAAGGATGCAAAAGAGGGTTGAGGAGGAGAATCTACCAGTTCGCAAGGAAAGAAAACTTAAATATTTCAATAAATTACTTAAAATTTATAATTTCAATCTAAATTTCAAAAAAGGTGGAAATTCTTTTTTCAAAATTTAAAAGGAGCAGAATTTTACAAAAATCGACTCAGAAATTTGAGAAAAAGAAATTCAAAATACTTGAGAAAAAGTATTAAAAAAATCTGGAAGTCAAAGGAGAATTAAAAAATTGAAAATTTAAGAAAGAGGAATGACAGGAAAAATTACAACACTTTTTTGGAGAACCAAAAAAAAAAACTTGGAGAACAAGGGGGTTGAAATGAAGAATCTCGATGATGTTGATTTTCTTTCGCGCACTTTTTAATTTTTCACACTCGGCGTTGTTCTTCTTCCTTGTATGTTTCTTAAACTACAATGGGGTTGGAGATTCTTCCTTCTCAGTGGACATGGAAGAAGAAACTAATGAAGAAAGGCACGAGCGGAGGTACAAGCCGGACGAACGAATGAACGAATAAGTGAACGAACGAAGGAGCGGACAGCGATCTCGCCTTCGCGACACGTTTTCCCCCACTCAGGATTCTCCTCTATACACCAACCATGCACGCAACCTCTCCAAGTCAGGGCCGTTCCAATGCGATTTTGATTGTCGTTGTTTCAATTTATTGAAAACTAGTATAGATTTTATTCAATTGCAATGGGAAAAAAGGAAAAGAGAAGGAGTTTGTCTTTGAATAGAGGGTAGAAACTGTGTGGCGAGGAATTAAATTCCCGCGTTGATGCGAGGAATCAGGAGGATCGCGAGGTGGAGAAAAAATGTGCCAGTGAAAGGAAAATTGAAGAAATGCGAGAGATGTGAAGAAATTCAAGGGTAACGAGACAAGAAAAGAATTTGAGGAACTGGAGGAAGAAAAATGAGTGCAAAAAAGGGTGTTTTTTTCTCTATTCTTGTAATTTTCTTTCTCCTTTCTGCTAAATAATTATTGGGAATTGAAGAAAAGTGCAAGAAAATAGAAACGAAGAAAACAGAGGATGAAATTGAAAAAAATGCAAATAAACGAGAAAAAATTATTTTAATCCGGATTTAGTCGGTTTATCGCATTTTGCAAATTAACTATATTTTGACAGAAAAATATTGACTATATTTATACAGAAAGTTTATTCAGAAAAAGAATATAATCAGAGAAATATATGAGCTTGAAAAGAATCAAGAAAATTGTCCCAAAAGCAAATAACCAGAAATGATTCTCTAATAGAAAAGAAATGTGAAACTAGAGTAAAGTGTGAAGATAAAAAAAAGGTTCGTAGGAACAAAATTCATAAATAATTAGGATAATTAGTAATTAATAATTAAGTGAAACTATTTAAAAAAAATAGAATAATACATTTTGTTTGCTATAGTTCGAAAAGAAAAAATAAGACCAAAAGGTGTAGAAAAGTAGTTATTTGTGTTCGTCATTAATGATAAAGAAAACAGTGTGAGAGTCATTTCGACCCATTGCTTTTCTGATTATCAGAGGGAAAAACACATCGAAACTGCTGAGTGCACCTTTGTTATTGTTTTTCTTAAAGAATAACTTATTGAGAAATTGCTTCTGGAGAATCACTCCAGTGTTTATTAAAATAATATTCTTTAAGGACAATAATTATTTTCTTTATTTTTGAAAAATACTCAACTAGTATCGTACTTGTCTGAAGAAAGTTCCTTTATTTTTTTTCTCTTTAGAAAACATTTTTCACATTTTGAAAAATAATTTTTTCTACTAAATTTTCTTCTGCGTAAAACGTTATTTCTGTTTTTTCTATTTTCTTTGCGAAGAAAGGAAAAATGTTTTCCATTATTGAAAAATTTGGTTAATTTTTTCTCTCTTGGGAATATCTCTCTAAATAATAATAAAAAATTAATAATCATAATAATAATAATTCAATATTTTTTCAAAATTTTTGGCTTCCAAAAATAATAATAATAATAGTAATAATAATTAAATTTGAGAATAAATCTTAAAGTTATTAATTCTAATTAACTTAGAAAAGTTTTCAATTAATAAAAAGGTGAAGTTTTCAGAAATAATTGAATTTTTAAAAGTAACAATTTAAAATTTTTCAATTGCTGTGTAGAAATTAATAATAATTGAACATTGACTTAAAAAATTATTTCAGACTTAAATAATAATAAAACTAAAATAATAACAAATTTTTTTTTACTTTTAAATAATTTTATTGAAAATTTTCAAAAAATTGACTTTCCAAGAAATTACAATTCAATTTCTTTTAAGATACTTGAAGTTTTTAGAAATATTTATTAAAAAATTAACAAATTGGAAATTTTGTGAAATTGAATTGAGTGTAATTAAAATTGTTAGAGAGTAAATTAATTAAATCTAATTACAGATTTTTGAAAAAATCGAATTTCGAGGAATTTTAATTTAATAATTAATAAATAATTTAATTTTACAAAAGAGTCAGAATTGAGTGTATTTAAAAGTTTATAGAAGCAACATTAAAGAGTCTAAATTTCTTCTAAAATAATTTATTTTCGAACCAATTACAATTAAAAATTTTATTGATTTCTTAATATTAAAAATATTAAAATTGTAAATTTTTTTAAAAAGTGAAATTTCGTAAAGTTTTATTTGAAATTTTGAAAAATTTGTTTTTTAAATATTTCAATTCTATTTTTTTAAAAAGATAATTGAATGTCTATAAAGAAGAAATTGAAAATTTTTGAAATAATTGAAATTTTCGAAAATTTTATTAAAAATAATTGCATTTTTTTAAAGAATTTTATAGAAATTTTTGAAAATTATGAAGGGAAGTTAATGAGAGTAATTTATTTTCTTTTTTAAAATAAGCAGACAATCGTAAAGTTTTAACTCAAATTTTTACTTTTAAAAATATTTTTTTTATAATTGAAATCCTGTTTTGAATTTTTTTTATGGATCAGGCAAAATTCTTTCTGGAAATCGGAGAAAAAGGAAATCAAATTTTTGGTGGCAACACTATTTTGGAAAATTTTTCTCTAGAAAATAAAATAATTACAAAACAGTCAAAAATTCACTTTGAAAAATTATAAAAATTCTTTTTTTTTTTGTCTTTTGAAGAGACAAATTATAGATATTTGCGATTTATTGCTCTAAGTTTGTAGGATATTTTCTTATAATAGGTTTGACAATATTCTTCATGACATAGTAAAACTTTATAGTATTCTTTTTTTTTTTTGCACATGTAGTTAACGTTGTAATTTAAATTTGACTTATGCGTAAGGATTGCTTTCGAATGTGATTTCTTAAGCACTGCACCGCAAAGAATTTTATTTTTAATTTATGACCTGCAGTCAACGTCCTCCTTGCATCGCATATATGTAGCTACAAAGTAACCCCAGGGGTATTCTTTGCAAAAAAAAGAAAGAAAAAAAATTAAATTCAAGGTACATTCAGTAACAAATTTTCATTGATAAAATTTTCCACTCGAATGGTCATATATTTTGAATAAAATACAATTTTTTATAAATTGATACTTATTTTGAATATAAATAATACAGAGATAATTAAGACGAAAATAAATAATATAGAAATAAAGAAGATGAAAATTAATATAGAAATAAAGAAGAAAATTAATATAGAAATAAATAATCGGAAATAAATCAAGAAGAGAGGAAAATAAAAATTTGACCAGTAAAATCATATTTTCCCTTGTCAATGTATGGCGAATAGAATAAAAAAAAGTAAAATGTGGTAATAATATTCTCTCGAATGATGAATTACCTTAATTACAAAATAGCAGGCAACGATACGTTTATTTGCATGTTTGCTTACAAATTACTTAATCTGTAAGCATTAGACTTATGATATACAATTATTGTAGCTCACTAAGGTAGTATTATCTACTCCCTACCGTGCACTAACTTCACACTAACTACACTTTTTACGTGTACTTAAAAATACGTCAATTACCACATTTTGTCTCAACAATTTTATATATATTCAGAAATTATCTCTTTGAAAAAACGAGTTTTTTTTGCAAATGTTCTCCATTTAATGCAAAAAAAATTGTATCTTTTTTATGAAATAATTTATTACCATCAAGATGTCAAGGGAGACTTTTATTTTCATTTAAAAACGAGGTCCCCTAATTTTAGCTCATTATCTAATCAGGACGAATTAACTAAATTGTATAATGACTTGAACATTTTGAAATATTTCATTAAAATATTTTTTACAGGACCAAGGACTAAAAACCAGTTCGTAAACAAAAGAAATGAATCTGGGAGGAATATTCTTGGAAGAAGTGGATAAGTTTCATATATATGTTATTTAAATCAGTAAAGATGAAAATGAATAAGAAAGAGGGTTCATGCGCCTGTTCCTGAGAAGATGAGTTAAATTTCTCGAGAGAGTGAAGAGAGGGAATGAGAGAATCAGAGAACTAAGGAGAACTTATGAATGAAACGGAATATCCTGAACGTCATAGGGTTTTAAAATTGGTGAGTCTTCTTTTAAAAGTTCATTTTTTGTTATTTTTCTAATTTTAAATCCCCTTCGATATTGTTTATTGTTATTTAACGTTTTACTTGCGATTTTCTCCTTTTTGCAGCTGCCGTTAATGTCAGTGTCCCGAAAATTCGCAGTGGTAGCAGATCTTCTCCCAGTTATTCCAGTCATTAACCTTTCTTACTTACACACATAAATCTGTATGGAAGAAACGAACTTTACGGGACTTTAATAATGGGGGATGAGTCAAGACTGTAAAAATACAGACAGAGGAAGTGGAATTTTTCTTTCGAGAACGATTTTCAAATGTTTCGGAGAGCAGAGATCAGAGCAAACAAATTTTTTCTAAAAAGGTATTTTAAAAATTAAAAATTAAATATTGCAAAGGGAAAAAATATGAAAAAACTGAAATTGAAAAGTATTGCAATCGGACAATTAGAAAAAAAAGAAGACGAATTCGACAGAAATTTTGGTTTAAAGGTAATAATTTCTTCTTGCGGTAAATTTTTTCCGAAAACTGAAAATAATGCATTTTCAGTTATATTTTATGCATTTAAAAAAAAAATTAAAAAAAAGAACTGTATAATTTCGTTCCACCAGGAAATAACCGAGAGGGAATTCGGTTCAAGAAAATTAGTAGACGTGAGTTACATTTACCATCAAATTTGACGAAAGTCCAAAATTTATATTATTTCAAAAAGAAAGATGAATTTATATAATTCGAATAATTATTTAAAAATTAATAAATTATTTCTATTATTAATTCAATTTATTCAATTATTAACGGGACAATTCAAGAAAATTAGTAGACCGTGAGTTAAATTTACAAACTTTGACGAAAGTCCAAATTTGTATTAATTTAAAAAAGAAAGATAAAATTTACAGAAATCGAATATTTATTTACAACTGAATAAATTATAGTATTTTAGATTTTTTATTTATTATTATTATTATGTATTTTTAGTCAATTTTTGTTTTAAAAGAAGAAAAATAATATTTCTGATTGCTCATATTTCACTTTTCTCATACATATTTTTTGTAAAAAAAATTTTTCTTTTTGAAAAAAATTAATAACACGTTTTTGTCGATTCTTATTATTTCAATTGCAATTGAGAGTTTCGAGTAGATTTCTCGTTACACATCAGTAATTGCATAGGAAGCTTCTAAAAGCGCGATATTATTGCCGCGAGGAACAGTTTGTTTATTTTTTCAATCTCCATGTTGTGTATATGATTTTATATATGTATTGAACTCGTCTGCACGATCGCGTGCTTTTTTGCGCACGCTCTTTACACATATTATAATGAAAGAGATGCTTCAAAAAAAAAAAAAAATTCTGACGCATTTAAAGGATAAATGCCAAGTGATGTACAAGGATACTGCACTTTTGTGAATTCCTCATCACTCAAGTTACTCTTTTAAATGAACGTACAAAAAATTTTTTTAACAAAAAAAAAAGAATCATTTTTACCAATTTTTACAGACAAAAAAAAATTTGTTATTAAGAGTAAGCACCAATAAATTTTTCAATCTGTCAATATAAAATTTACAATTCTTCGAGGGTGTCAGTTTCTTTTTTGACGGGTTAAAATTTATGTTTCATTATTAAAATTTGGAAAAAGAAATTTAATGAAAGAATTTTTTTTTCTCTTTGCAAAAATGGAAAGTTTTGTTAATTAACTGGAGTGAATGTTCGGAATTGTTGGAAATGATTATTAACAAAAATTGAAGATGAAAATTAATTTTTTAATATTTTCCAAAAAAAAAATTTTTTAATATTCAGTTATTTTTAAAACTTTTACTAAATTTCAATTATTTGAAATTTTTTTAATTACATATAATTGAAAAATCGTTTGTCTTTTGAAAATTATTAAATAATATTTTTTAAAAACAAATTCTCAAAGTTTTTTATCATAAATTTTTTAAATTAAATTGTCTTTAAAAAAAGTAAATTCAAATTTTTTGTGAAATCTAAATTTTTTAGACTAATTATTATAATTTTAGAGAAATTATGAATTTAAAAAAATTTTCAAAAGTCTAATTAAATTTTTAATATTATCTAAATATTTTTATAAAAATTTCAATTATTTTCAAAATTTTTTCTAAATTTCAATTATTGTGAAATTTCTCAAGAATTTATGTAATTGAAAAATCTTTCAAATTAACTTGAAAAAATTATTTTAAAAAATTCTTAAAATACTAGTTTTAAAAAATGTTTATATTTATTAAAATTTGTTAAAAATCAATTATTTTTAATATTTTCCTTTTCAAATTTTCTTCAAAGAGTTACCAAGTATTGAAAATAATTTGATTTTTGCAAATAAACAATTGAATTTTCGAAGAACATTCAAAAAATTATTTAAGAATATTTGTTTTGGAGAAGAAGTTTAGTTAAAATTTGTTGAAAATAATTAAATTTTAAATTTAATTAAATTTTTAGTCACAGGTATAATTTTTAGAAATAATTAAATATCACGAGAGTTGAAATTGAGTGCGTTCTTATTTATATTAGAAAAAAATATTTATTTTCTTGTTTCATCTTTTTAAACAATTTTTGTTTTTTCGAATTTTTATTTCGCAGAAATTACTTGAAATTAGAAAAACACACAAGCGTTGGGAAAAAAAAAATTAGAAAGCTTTTGATGTTTTTGATTTATGATGGTTCATAAAATTTGTATTTTTTCGCAAAAAACTAAATGTGGTGATAAATCAGTGGATTGATCATTGCAGGAAGGATAAAGAGGGGGTGGAGGAGGGAGTGAAGGTTGAGTAAATAAATGTCTGGGAAGGATTGAGGAAATAAAATTTTTTTTTCCACGGATGCGATGGATAGGCTTGTATAGATGACAGTTGCATTTTTTGGATATAATGAAGCTTTGAGAAATAAATTCTGTGAGTTCCTCGTATGCAATTTCACAGGTACACTACACTCACCTAGGAAATTGCGTAGGCGCGACAGAAACTTGTTTCAAGGTATGCACCATCACTAAATTCTCGATTAGCAATATAGTTACAGTATTAAATAAAATATGGAGAATTTTCTTGATCGGAAAAAAATTTCTTTTTGTTTTTTATTTTATCTTCTGCTTATTCTTCTTATTTTTCTTCGTCGTCGTCGCCTCCTTCTTTTTTCTCTTTTATTACTTATTTCCATTTTCTTTCTTGGATTGTTACATATTTCTTCTTTTTTACATCTTCATTATATAATATACGCATATCGATAGTGAATGTAGGAAAAAAATGTCTAAGACGAAAAAAAGAAAATAACCTTGGATAGTGTTTTTATTATTTAAGTGAAATAATATTTGTTTTTATAATTTCATAACTGATGAGTACTATAATCTCGGATCGTGGTTTGAATGAAACTTTTCATTCAACTTCTTCTCGTTGCATATTTGCTGATGAATCACAAAGATCGTTATTCTACTTCACTTCTTCTTCTTCTTCTTGATTTCTAGTTGTAGTTTCTGTCCTTTTTCGTCTTTCACAAATTTCGCATTTATTTAATTTGATTAATTTACCGTTTTTTGGTTTCTGTTTTCAGAGTGAAAAATGAAACTGCAAATATTGTTTTTCTTATTTTCTTTTCGAAAGTAGTTATTGAAAATAATTTTTTACTGCAAATTATTTTAATCGAAATATAAAAAAAAATAATTATTATTATTTTTCGGTCCCTATTTTCGGAGTAAACAATAAAAACACAATTTAATTTCTTATTTCCTTTCAGAAAATATTTATTAAATCTGAAAATTTTTTTTGACTGCTAATTATTTTAAATGAAGTGAAATAGAAAGTAATATTTATTTACTATCATCTTTCTTTCCCTATTTTTGGAGTAAAAAATAAATTCTCAATTTTTTTTCTTATTTCCTTTTAGAAAATTTTTACTCAATCAGAAAAAAAATTTTACTGCAAATTCTATTAATTGATATGAAATAGAAAGAAAATTTATTATAACTTTTCGGTCCCTATTTTCAGAGTGAAAAATAAACTCACATTTTTTCTTCTTATTTCCTTTCAAAAAATGATTTATTTAATCTGAAAAAAATTTATTACTGCAAATTATTAAAAAATTATTCAAAATTATTCAAAATTATTCAAATTATTGAAATATAAAAAAAAATATTTATTTATTTTCATTTTTCGGTCTCTATTTTCAGAGTAAAAAATAAAATCACAATCTTTTTTCTTATTTTCTTTCAGAAAATTGTTATTCAATCTAAAAAAAACGTTTTAACTTTAAATTATTTTAATTGAAATAAAATAGAAAAAAATTATGTATTTATTATCATTTTTTGGTTTTATTTTCAGAGTAAAAAATAAAATCACAATTTTTTGTATATTTCCTTTAAGAAAATATATTTATTCAATCTAAAAAGAATTTTTTACTACAAATTATTTTAATTGAAATAAAATAGAAAAAAAGATTGTGATATTATTTTTTAATCTGAAAATAAGACAGAAAAATGAGAATAAATAAATTTTTTTTCTATTTCATTTCAATTAAAATAATTTGCAGTAAAAAATTCTTTTTAAACTGAATAAATATTTTCTAAAAGGAAATAAGAAAAAAAATTGTGTTTTTATTTTTTACTCTGAAAATAGGACCGAAAAATGATAATAAATAAATAATTTTTCTTATTTCCTTTCAGGAAATATTTATTTAATCTAAAAAAAAAATTTGACTGCAAATTATTTCGATTAAAATGAAATAGAAAAGAATTTTTATTTTTTATCAATTTTCGGTCACTATTTTCGGAGTAAAAAATAAAATGACATTTTTTTTCTTATTTCCTTTCAGAAAATCTTTTATTAATTTTTTATTGAATTTTATTAAAATTTTTTAACTGCAAATTATTTTAATTGAAATAGAAAAAATTATTTACTTATCACCTGTTAAGAAATGTCAGCAATTACACGAAATTGCGACAACATTATGAATTATATACCATTGTAAATTAAAAATTTAACGACCCGGGTGTAGAATTCAATGAAAATAATTGATGTACTCGAATTCCATTGCAATTGCATCGTTAATTTAAGCTTTAGTGCAAGGCTATGTACTTCATTTTGAAATCATTTTTCTCAATGAATCTGCAATAATATTCTTTTTGATATTTTCCCCTACCGCAAAATTGTTTAAGAAATTTTTTCTTCTTTTCTTTTTGTCTGCTTTTTTTCAAAATAATAATTAAAAACGAATAATTTCTCATTAAAATAATTTTATTTTTATCCCTTTCGTTTTATTGAAGAAACAAATATAAAAGAAGTTTCATATGTCTCTCAACAAAGAATAAATGAAGAGCACTTGAAAATCCGTTAAAGATAAATAAATCTATGAAAAAGATTGCACAATAAATTATAAATATTATCGTTTTATGTAACTTTTTTTTCACGCACCAACTGCAGGGGGAGAGAAAAAGAACGATTCTTTTTAATGACGCGTGAACCGATAATATTAAATAAAGTTTCTCTTTTATAAATCTTTGTTATAAAATAAAGAATCGTTAACTTTAAATTATTACAATTTAGATAAGGGGAATTTTTCATTATTACAAAAGAAAAATTGAGGAGAAGAAAGAAAAGTCAACTTGCAATCGGAAAAAATTGACTGAAACTTAAAAAAAATTAAAAAAGAAAATATTTTTTCTACAAAATAGATTTTCTTGTTCAATATTTTACCCCTGAATCTAAAATGCAACTTTTTTCCCCGATTGAAAAGGGGAAAGAAAAGAAAATATTCTTCCACTGTCTTTGGATCTGGCGTCTCGCGGTCAGTGAGCCTTGCCAATTGTTTATTTAGTCTTGAGAGCGTATGTTAAATACCGACAAGTTAAAGACGACCTTTACATAAAGTACTGTATTCCGCTCCTCGAGAATTATATACGCTTGACTTTGAAATATCACGTTCAAAAAGCTGTGGAAAGGTTGCCAGTAAAATAAAACAGTCTGCTTTCCTTTTATAACAATATTCCACTTTATTTTGTGTGTAAAAAGTTCAACAGCACTCGTCCTAATAAATATGAAACTCAACAAAAAGCTTTTAATTTATTTTCGAGAAATATACTTACAGCAAAATAGAAGCAAAGAAAAAATTGGAAACAAAAAAACAATTATATTTTAGTCTACGATTTATCGCAGATGAAAACTATAAAAAAAATTATAAAGAATATAAATCAGTGTTGAGTTTTTTTCTATTTTTTTTTAGAGAAATTTTTCTCCAGAATCGCACTAAGGAAATTAAAGAATTCTAAAAAAGGATTAGTTACATTCTTTTAAAAGGTAGTTACTCAACACTTTAATATACAAACTAAGTCTCAGTCGATTAAGAATCAGATATATCTACAAAATTCCATTAATAACACTTCATTACAGAAATGTTGGATTACATTTTTCAGAAAATTTCAGGGCACTAATACAGAGAAAAATTCCAGAGTTCCCTTATGGTAGTTAAACAAAAGATTTTTTAAATTGCAAATAATTTTTGAGCTTGAGAATAAAGGACGGAGCCTTGAATTACTTTTCGCAAGAATATGTGATCTTAAGGCCCTTTCTGAACCGAAAATAAATTATAACAAATAAAATGTACAATTTATCAATTCTTCTCATAAAACAATTTACAATTTGCTTTTTTTGTGATTAATGTCTGTTAATTTACAACTCAGTCTTCGAGTATTTAATATTCAGCTCTTGAATCTTTCCCTTATCGCATATACAAGATAATTTATATTCCTGAAAAATAACTTAAACTAGAAAATAAATTTAACATGTCAATATAGCATCGCATTTTCAATGAAAAATAATAATTTGAATGAGACAATAAAAAAGACATTTTTTTGATTGTCTTTACAATAAATAGAAAATTCGCAAAAAGCAGCAATTTAGATTTATACATCTAGCATTGCGAATGAATTTTATTACCGAACATCAAGTTTTTATCGGCAATGAGGAATAATTTATTATTATTAATAATTGATTAAAATAAAAATTCTCTTTTACCTTAATAATATTTTACAATATATAGAACAATATTTGAATATTTTGTAAAATATCGTTTATATTCTAATATTTTATAGTTATTTAATTGTAATTTTAGTTAAATAATTATTACAATTATACAACTATTTTGTATTTATTTATTAATAATAATCAATTACAATTATTATTATGTATGAGTGAATGCTGTAAAAATCACGAAGCAGCTTTTTTTAACTACAGAATATTCATTGTTTATAATTAATATTATGAAGTTTTGGAAATAACAAAAATAGTCTGATTTTAAAAAATTTACAGATACGACAAAATCTAAACTAGATCAGAAAAATATAAACGTGCATAATTTTTTTTTATTGTATATTCCTTGAATTAGGCAAGATTTACTCGCTTGGTTCTGTTTAACTTGGAATAAAACCACGTATTTCTCACACTCTAATTCCATCAAGATTAAAAGTTGACGCGAATTTTTTATTTTCTGTTTTCTCTTTTATTATAGAAATGAGATTTTCTTTCTTTTCTTTTTGTTTGTTAAAGATTTATCCATAGATTTAGTAACAAAGTTCCTTTCAAAAGGCATTTTTTTTATATATTTATAAACATGTTTATGAACTTTTTTTTATGAAATCAGCCCCTATCTCATTAAAATGTTATTACTTGTGTAGGATCAGAACAATCACCGATAGTCATTCTATGCATTGCCATTTCCGTTATCCCGTGATAATGAACGAATGCTGCTGCAATCACGAACACATGGAATATCTGATGGCTCTGAAACTGTTTAAGGTAAAGAGTTAAAAAATAATAATCTAGATATTAATAGCTACCTAATGTTAAGCGGGCGAAAAGAGATATTTCATTTCTTATTATGCAAATTAAGAGAATTTTTTATTTTCAAATATTAATTTCAATTTTATAATAATTTCAGATTCAAAATTTTAAAAAGTTCAATTATTAACTAATTTACTAATTATTTGTAAATATTTATTGTTTTCAAAAACTTTAATGAATTTCTTCCCAGAAATTAAATTATTTTCAATAAAATTTCTTAAAAGAAATCAATTATTTTAAAAAAATTTGATTAAATTCTTTATGAGAATTGAAATATTTTCAATACAATTTTAATGAAATTCCTTGAAGAAATTCAATTATTTTGAAAACTTTGTAAATTCTTTATGATAATTAAAGTATTTTGAATACAATTTTAATTATGTTCTCGAAAAAATTCAATTATTTTCAATTTCAATAAAATTTTTCACAATAAAGAAATTATTTTTAAAAATTTAATGAAGTTGTTCGCAAAAATTCAATTATTTTTAAAAAATTTGATTAAATTCTTTATAAGATTTGAAATATTATCATTACGATTTTAATTGTGTCCTCGAAAAAATTCAATTATTTTCGAAAATTTTAATGAAATTCTTAGCGAGGTTTCAATTATTCTCATAATTTATAAAATTTTTCGCAGAAATTTAATTATTTTAAAGAAATTTAATAAATTTCTTTGCAGGAATTTAATTATTTTAAAGAATTTTAATAAAATTCTTCTCAAAGATTATATTATTTTGAAAAATTTTAATGAAATTCTTTCTAAGAAAAAAATTTAATGAAATGCTTAAAAAAAATTCAATTATTTTGAAAAATTTTGGTAAAATTCTTTACAAGAATTCATTTATTTTTAATTCAATTGTAATAAAATTCTTAACAAGACTTCAATTATTTTTATAAGAATAAGAGAAATATTTTTAATTGAAAACAATTTGGACTAATTAATTTTTGGTATTTTTAATTTTCAAAGCATTAAATTCGAATTTTATTCATTTAAAAGTTTGAAATATTAAAATGAAAAATTATCAAAAATAAATTAGAAAATAAAAAGCAAACGAAAACAATTAACTTCAAACTAACTTTTCTAAACTTCGCAAACTTATTTTTTAAAAATAATTGAATTCTTTTAAACAATTTTATTAGAGTTTTTGTAAATAATTAAATTTTTTTGACAAATTTCTTTAACTGTTTTGAAAATAATGTAGTTTTTTTTAATAATTTTAATTTTAATAAAATTTTGAATTTTATTAAAATTTTATTGAAAATAATTAAAATCCTGAGAAGAATGTTGGTATTTTTATGAAAATAATTAAATTCTTGAGAAAGATTTTACAATTTATAAAAATAATTGAATTGTATCGAAGAATTTATTTAAAATTTTAGAAAATAATTGAATTCATGAGAAGAATTTTAGAATTTTTTAAAATAATTGAATTGTTTCGAGGATTTTTCATTAAAATTTTTGAAAATAATTCCATTTCCTTCGAAAAATGTAATTATTTATAAAAATAATTGAATTCTTGAGAAGAATTTTACATTTTTAAAAATTAATTGAATTGTTTCGAAGAATTTATTAAAATTTTGGAAAACAATTTAATTCTTACAAAAATTGTTATTATTTATGAAAATAATTAAATTCTTGTAAAGAATTTTACATTTTTTTAAAATAATTGAATTGTTTTGAAGAATTTATTAAAATTTATAGAATAATTTATAAATGAATAATTGAATCCTTTCTTGAAATTTTATTAAAATTGTTTAGAAAATATTTGAATTTGTGCAAAAAATTTTATTATTTATAAAAATAATTGAATTCATCCCAAACTTAGTAAGTGAATGTTTAAAATTTCGAATCTAAAATTATTCAAAAATTGAATTTTATATTTAAAAATAAAAAATTTTGTAATTTTGCATAATAAAAATGAAAGGTCATATTTCGCGCGTAACATTTGCTTGTTTTAAATAGTTGATACAAGAAGAAATTGCAAAAATTAACGAAAAAATAAAAAAAAAATATTTCGCGCGTAAAATTTGCTATTTTTGAATAATTAATACAAGAAGAAATTGCAAAAATTAAGAAAAAAAAAATGAAAAATAGAGAAAAAAATCTTACCCAGATGTCGAATTTTCCGGGGAAAAATCGTTCTGGAACGCGTAAGGCATAAAACATGGCGCCAAGTATATACAAGCATCCCATAAGAATTAACCAACCGAGTGAGGCTTGACTGATCGCCTTAAACCACCCTTCAGCCACTGAGTAATGTACAGCTGGTATGATCTGACATAGAAAATTCAAAATTAGAAACTCAACTCCCGTGTAGAAATAGAAAATAGAAAATTTCTATCTTCTTCTTCCTCCTCTAAATATAACTCAAAAAAAAGAAAGAGGAGAAAAAAAATCATACCCCACTAAGTCCAAAGCCCATGAAAACTCCAGCCCTCAACGGTCGGAATCTTGGCTCGCCAAATCTTTCCCACAAAGAAACTACTATACTGGTTATTCCAAGACCCATAACAACTGACAAATATATCAGCTTGGGCTGGTAATCACAGTAGAAACCATAATATAACCAAGGTACAAAGCTACCCATTATAAGCAGTGCTATTCCACAGTAGTCTAGTTTTGAAAATAACTTTCCTACGCATTCGCTGTGGCAGTGCAATGTGTGGAAAGCAAACGACATCCCTAAACAAATTATTGCACCGGCAAAAAAGGCCCCGAATACTATTTTCTCCTCCAATCGTATTGCCATTGGTGGTTGTGTTATGAAGAAAATTGCTATTCCTATAAAAGCCACACATCCTGAAAAACAAAATTATTTTTTATTTTACAATTGCAATTTTTTACTCATTAAATTAAATAAAATATAATAAAAATAAAATATTAACATTATATTATTAAAATATAATTAAATATAATCAATTCTAGAACAAAAAATAATTATAGATGAAGGAAAAAAAACGAAAACATTCGGACATTCGTTTATTTTCCTTCATCTATAATTAATATTTCTCCGACGTTTTTACGTCCGATTAATTAAAAATTAATTAAAAAGTAATTCCCTGAATTGAATTGAATATTTTCAAACACTACTAACATCTATAAATTAATTAATTTTTTCTATTCCCATTAATAATTAATTAAATAAATAAATAACAAAATTAATTGAAATGCAAAAAAAGTGCAGAAAAAAAATACAAATTAAACATGAAAATGTAAAGAGCGTTTCCTGTCTGAAAATTGTATTGTGGAAAATTTATATAATTAACTTATTATTACCGAAACCGATTATTAATTTTTTTTAATTATTATTTCGAAAATTTTATAAGTCCAAAAAAATTTTTATGGAAAAATAAATTATTATTTTTACTGGATTATTCTATTCCAATTACAGGCTTTGCACTCGTTAATTAACTTTAAAGAAGCAGTAAAAACTAGCTTGAAAACTGATAAGAAGTAGTAAGAAAGTAGGTAACTAACGAACAATTAAATTTGCCGACTTAAAAAACTTGTTTTTGTTGATTCAATGTGCAAAAAAAAAACGCATATTATTTCGGATTATCGCAAAAATTTATTCTCCTGATTTCTGGAAAGAATAGTAATAAAACTTTTTTTCTTATTTTGCTAATAACTTCAATTCTACATTTTTGTAAAATTAAATTATTTTCTAAATTTTTAAAAAGAATTCTTCAAAAATACGATTATATTTAAAAATAATTTAATTTTTACGTATAAAAAAATAAAAATTGATAAATTCTAAATTTTAATGAAACTTGCCGGAACTTTAATTATTTTTGTTAAATTAATATTTAAATACTTATTGTTATTTATTTTTCCACAGGAATTAAAATTTTAAATAACTTCAAAGTCAATTCTTTTGAAATCTTTAAAATTATCAATTAAATTATTTTTAATTATTTCTAGAAATTTCAATTGCACTTCTTACAAAATTAGATTGTTTTTTTAAATTTTTAAATAAAATTATTCAAAACTTTAATTATTTTTAAGAAAAATAGTAAATTAATAATTTTTAATAATTAATATTTAAATACTTATTTTCCTTTACAGGAATTACAATTTCCAAAATAATTTTAATATAAAAACTTTTTGAAATATAATTATTTCTAAAAATTCTAAAAGAATTGAATTATTTTAATAAATAATAAAATTCTTCGTAGGAATTTAATTATTTTCCATTCAATTTTAATAAAATTTATCGAAAGAATTCAACTATTTTTGACAATTGCAATAAAATTCTTCGAAAGAATTTTATTATTTTTAAGAATTTTAATAAAATTTATTAAAACAAGTGAATGGTTGTCAATAATTTTAATAAAATTCCACGCAAGAATTCTATTATTTTTGAAAATAATAAAACTCTTCGCAGAAATTCAATTAATTTCAATGCAATGAAAATAAAATTTCTCAAACGAATTCAATTATTTTTAAAAATTTTCATAATATTCTTCGCAAAAATTTAATTATTTTCAATAATTGTAATTAAATTCTTTATAAGGATTGAAATATTTTCTTTACAAATTTGATTAGATTCAAGGATTTAAATAATTTCCACTCAAGACTTCAATTATTTTCAAAAATAATAAAATTCTTTAGAGGAATTTAATTATTTCCAATACAATTATAATAAAATTTCTCAAAACAATTCAATTATTTTGAAAAATTTACAAAAATTCAATTATTTTGGAAAATTTTGATTTAATTCTCTGGGAGAATTGAATTATTTTCAATACACTTTTGATAAAATTAAAAAAATTAATTTTTACGATGAGAAAAAAAAATTCGAAGACAACTTTAGGTTTTTTCAATAGTTTGATAAATAAAATTTTATAATTAAATTAAAGAAATTCATAAAAATTTTGATCTCCGAGTTAATTCTTTTCATTCTTTTATATTCCTGTTTAATAATTTCCGGACTATTGAAAAATATTTTTTCAAATTTTTAAAAATTAAAAAAAAATCAGAATGTAAATAATAAACATTATTGAGAAAGTTTACCGAGTAGATGGGTCCATATATTTCCTGTTTCCGTGTGAATGCGAAAAATACTTTTAAAACAAGCGTAGAATGACGGCAAAGGGGGTCTATGACCTGCATGTAAGAAATCGTTGTCCTGCAACCATCTTGGTAAATTCCGGAAGTGACACTGTTTCCAAGACGCTTCCCACACCTGTGAATAATCATTTTATTCATATTACATATATTTTTCATTCACATTTGTGCTTTTTATTTACATTTTTTTTTTTTTGGAAAGTTTAATGTTCCTAATTTACCTTACGAACAAATTCCTCGGCTTGTTCAGCTGCGTTGTGCGCCAATGCACCGATATCGATTTCATCGCTTAATACTCCAGCTTTTAGGACTTCTGTCATCTGAAATTCAATTATATTCTATATCAATCTAGTAATAATTTATTCAGATAATTTCTCTAGATTGTCAAGAAAAAAAAGTTTCAATATTAAATAATTTTAGAAACAAAAGATTTTCTACAAAACTTTGTTGCCACTTGGAAAAATTCTAATTTCTACAAAATTAATATTTTTGTTTTGGAAAAATTTAAATTGTTTTTTTTACCTCACAATTTAAAAGATGATCATCTTCAGGAGTTGATGGCAATGGACATCCAACTCCGTCCTCTTCTTCAGCCAAACAACTGGTGTCATCTTCTTCTAGTAATTCTTTGACCTCATGTAAACCAGGAATATCACTGTTTAGTGAAATCCTATCACTCCAAGGGACTCGATGTCGTAGTCCTGAATCTTCCATTGATTTCAATTCATTTTTATCCTCGACAATAATGTCCTCGTTATCTAACATTTTTCCTAAGGTATTTTTAATTCGAATTTCTACTATAAATTGTCTAGTTTAGTTAAATTGTGAATCTGAAACAATAATGGATTTTTAAGGGGATTTATTCACTATACAATTATTTCCTTAATTGGATTAAAAAAAAATTTAGTATTAACATTTTTAATTATAGAAATGCAATATTGAAAACCACAAAAATAAAATTCCACATAAAAATTCAATTAATTGCAAAAATAATAAAATCCTTTGCAGGAATTCAATTATTTTCAAAAATAATACAATTCAGCACAAGAATTCAATTATTTTCAAAAATTGTAATTAAATTCTTTACAAGAAATTTCGAAAATAAATTTCAATACAATTTTGATTAAATTAAAAAAAAATCCAATTGTTTTCAATAATTTCAATTAAATTCCACACAACAATTAAATTATTTTCAAAAATAATAAAATTCTTTACAAGACATCAATTATTTTCAAAAATTTTAATTAAATTCTTGGCAAGTATTAAATTAATTTTTAAGCAATATTAATAAAATTCCTCAAAAGAAATGAAATATTTTCGAAAATTTTGATAAAATTCTTCGCAAAAATTCAATTATTTTCAATACAAATTTAATAGACTTTTCTGAAAAAATTCAATTATTTTAACAAATTCGTGGAAAAAATTAAATTATATTCAAAAACTTTAATAAAATTCTTCGGAGAAATTCAATTATTTTTATAAATCATAAATTTCTCTTGAGAAATTCAATTATTTTCAATACAATTTTAAAAGAATTATTTCCAAAAAAATTCTTGAAACAAGTTCAATTATTTTAAAAAATTTTAATAAAATTCTTGGGAAAAATTCAATTAATTTAAATACAATTTTAATAAAATCTCTTGATAGAATTCAATTATTTTCAAAAATTTTAATAAAATTCTTCGGAGAAATTCAATTATTTTTATAAATAATAGAATTCAATTATTTTCAATACTAATAAAATTCTTCACAGGAATTACAATTATTATTTTCAATACAACTATAATAAAATTTCTCTAAAGAATTTAATTATTTAAAAAAAATTCATATTTTTCACAAAAATTCAATTATTTTGAAAATTTTTAATTAAATTCTGTATGAGAATTTTCAAAAAAATTCAATTGTTTTCAATTATTTAAATTCAATTCCGCACAAGAATTCAATTAACATTTTTTCTAATGTATTTTTAATTGAAATTTCTACTATAAATTGACTAGTTTAGTTAAATTGCAATTTAATTAAACTAGCCTGAAACAAATGGATTTTTATTTAAGAGAATTTATTCACTATACAATTATTTCCTTAAATAGATTAAAAGAAAACTTTACTATTAACATTTTTAATTATAGAAATGCAATATTGAAAACCAACCTGTTAATATTGACCAGTAAAATAAAATTCATACGTGTCCTAGCTTATAATGGACGCATGCACTTATCTTATTGCAACTAATAGTGAATAATGTCTTTATCATTTTTTTCCATGCATGTTTGTGTGAGAGGAGTCAAAGTTTGGTTACGTTATAGAGATAAGCGATTAAAAAAACAACTTGAAAAAATTTATAACTATAAAATTGAAATACTTTTCTGAAAATATTTCCTCTAATAAAACAAATGTAGACTAAAATTAAAAAAAAATTATTTAATTGACTAAAATTAGAAATTAATAGAAATTAATTTTATTGATTAGTGTCACGCTGACAACTTTATTAGAAAATTCTAGTTAATTAGAATTAATAATTAAACCCCTTAAGAAAATAATATTATTTATCACTGAATTTAAAATAATATTTTGCAAAATTTCTCTCCAACATGCGAATTAACACCAAATTGCGAAATTTTATTGTCGTGACGTAAGTTATAGTCGTTTTTTTTCTTTTTCCATTAAAACTCAATGAAAAAAAAAGATTTTCCGTGCAGTAAATATTGCTTATATAATTCGATAATGTTTATTAAACAAATCTGTACATATTGAAGATATTGAACAAAGGTCAAACAAAAATCTTGGCAAATTTTCAAGTTGGTTTTCAAGGACGTTATCTGATGATAATTGCGTACACTTTAACTGACACTTTACCGTTTTTTTGGAAAAAATGATAATTTTCATGAAAAATGGGAAAAATATAACTTTATTGTTTTGAGAATAACAAAGGATAAAAATATACTCACAGTAGCTGTCATTTGCCTGAAAAACACGTAACTTGTTATTTTGACGTATTATCACGCTTTACGCAATACTTGCAAGATATAATAATGTTTATAATAAATTTTCAATTGTTCCGTGACTACGATTGTCACTATTTTTTCAATTCACTCCAGAAAATGAAGAGGAAAAATTTATTGACAAAATTTTGAGTTATTTAATTAATGAAATGTCGAGAGAAGTTCGGCCATTTTGAAAACGTTAGGTTGCGACGTCAACGATAGTTACGAAGTTGCGAAGATAGAAAGATAGTTCGAAGTTCGCTCGCTCTGGGAAAGATGGCGCTAGTACTGAATTCTAATTGTCCACGAGGAATATTTTTTTAAAAAATGTCAGAATAGTTTATTTCACACAGTTGACATGAACGACATGACGATGGCGGACGCTTATAAACACAGAGATAAGAAGCACGTACAAGCAAAGAATTGAGTGAAGTGTAACTTGTTTTTATGTATTTCAATGAAGGGAAATAAATTATCCCCTAATTACCATTAATAAACTTTAAGTGTTAATAATATAATAATAATTCTTTCAATAATTCTTGGAGCCTTGCGCACAGAATCAAGCAGTGGCCGGGTTGCTCCTATTCGTGATGTTTGTATATAAAATGCGCCTGCCAAATGTGATAAATTAATTTTCAATCTCATCTTTCAGAAGAGAATGAATAAATACAAAAAAATCAATAAAACCTAAATGAAGTAATAACACAAAATAATAATAAATAAAATAACATAAATATTCGTGTAAATTTAAAATAAAATATAAAGTTTGATCAAAGTGTTGAGAAGAGGATTAAAATCCGTCCAATTGTTTACCTTTGGTTTACAATACAAATCAGAATTCAATTGCAAACAAAATACCCTCAATTGTTGATCGATAGAGGAAAAATGTTCTAAAAAAACCATTCGTTCAATCTCATCCATTTACCAAAGTCTTCTAGTTCGAAACAAAAATTTTTTTAATCCTAATAAATATTTTCTTCTTAAATAAATATATAATGGAAGAAGAACAACAAGTTCGTGTCACTTCATTTCTCGAAGAGACATTTTACATAACTTCAAAAAAAAATACAATCTATCGTGTTAGATTAACGGAAAAGGGTTTGAGTTTGAATAAAGAAAATAATGGTTTAACGAAAATTGAATTAATATCATTGTGCGATATTATTGGATGTCGATGTATGAGATCGAAGAAACAAAGTGCTGGAAGCTGTGCCTGTCGAGCATCAAAAAGTCAATTGAGACTCGTCGAATCAAATGAAGTGACACATTCATTCGATGAATATGATACTTCCGCTTATTTATATATTTATGCTTATACAATTAAAAAGGCGAGAGTTAAGGGTGCACGACGAAGGGAACGAACGACAATAACTCTTCGCTTTCGTAGCTTTGACAAATATGAGGATAATTTACGTGAAGCGAGCCGATGGAGATTGGCAATTAAGTGCCTCATTTCCAAAATTCCTGTACCAAAAATTCTCATGAGTCCAAGTCATGGAAATTTAGAATCGATAATCAGTGGTGAGAGATTTTTCCTTTTTATTTTACATTCTATTTTTTTTTTTGAACTATTTTTCTGCATTTTGTTTTTTTGTTTTTTGCTATTTTTACTATTTTTCTGTATTTTGTATTTTTTTCCTTCTTTTTAGCTGTCAACTTTTTTATTGTCGACACTTTTTACTATTTTTAATAGTCTTATTTTCTATTTTATAATTTACTTTATGATTAATGCCGTAATTTTACTTACTGCATTTTATTCGTAAAGTAGTAAATTTACTATTTTTTATTCAGAAAATAGTTGAATTTGTTTTCCTTTTTTTTAAGAGTAGGGGAAATAATTTTAAATCTGATAACATAATTATATGTTTGTTATGATTCAAGATAATTGTCAAGGTTTTTATTATGTTGAAAGATGTTTGCTCTAGTTTATTTTTCGGAGGTTTTAATCAGATTAATTTTCAATTTTACGTCGATAATATTCTTAAAGAATTCTTAAAGTATTTAAACAAAGGTGGAAATATATAAATTTTAATTAATAGGAAAATTTTTTATTAGTCTAATTTTTAATTAATTTTTCTATTTAGTATTTTTTAAATTTATTACTTTCGTTTTTCAACTTTTTGGCGTAAATTACTTATAGTTTAATATTTGTTTATTATTTGCATATTTTTTATTAATTTTTATAAATTTTTATTTTTTTTTCGTTATTTATTTTTATTAATTTTTGTTTTTTTCGGTTATTCATTTTTATTTATTATCATATACACTTAAATCACTTAATCATTTTTTTTATCTTTATAAATTCGATAATTTAATAATTTGTCATTTTTAATTTGTGAGCAGTTCAAAAATTGTAGTAAATCGATATTTAAAATTTTTTGTTAATAGTATTTTAATATTTTTGCCATTCAAATTTATATTTTAGTCTTTAAATCAGAATTTAATTAGACGTCAAAAGGAAAATTACTGAAGTAACTCTAATTCCTAACACTTAAACTATTATGTTTAATTTGTCAGTGGAGAAGTGAATTTAATACATTCACAATAACAATTCTTTTAATGCAACTTTTTTTAGTTCGAAGAATATAAAAATTAAATAATCAATAGAATTTTTCTGGTAAAAACTGAAAGTTATTTTTTATTTTTATAATGTGCAAAAATAACTATTGTCAAATCTTTAAAAAATTACTTTTTTTTTTATTTTTTTCTTAATTTTTTAAGATAATTCAATTTTTGCAAAACATAATTAAAAAAAATTTTTAAATAATCGGAAGTTTGGAAAAATTTTTAAGAAAATGAGTAATTATTTAAAGTGTTTTATAAAATTTATGAAAATCAAGTTTTAAAAAATTTTTATTGCAAATTTTGAAAATAATTAAATTCTCAAAATTTTTAATGAAACGACTTCAAATGAAAATTAATAGCTTCATAAATTATTAATATTAATTGCTTAATTATTAGCTTCATAAAATTTTATTAGAAAGTTTATAAAAAATAAGTGATTCTTATAATTTTTTTATAATTTTTTAAAAATGAATTAAAATTTTTTACAATTTTCCAAAATTTTTAATTAAAATTCTTTAAAAACTTGATTAGTTTCTTTGAATTATCCAAAAATTCTTTGGAAAAATTCAATTCTTTTCGAAAAGTTATGTAAAAATATTTTAAAAATACTAATTCTTAGAATTTTTTTATTAAAATGTTTTAAAATTCAATTTTCTTAAAAAAAAACATACATTTTAATTTTCAAAAAATCTCCTTTTGTAGAATTATCTTTAAAAATTTGCAGAATTAGTGTATTTTCATATTTGTAATTAAAATTCTTTAAAAACTTTTTACTTTTTATTATCACAAAAATTTAATTGTTTTCCTTTTTTTTTACTGAATTTCAATTATTTTCAATTTTTTTTTACTAAATTTTTATCTATATTATCTTTCAAAAATTATTTTAAAGTGGTTTTAAAAAATTAATTTTAAAAATTTCTTTACTATATTTTTATAGAAAATCAATTACTTTCCATATTTTCTGTTACAAATTCAATAGTTCATTTTGATAACATAAAAAAAATTGAATATTTTTATTTAAGTATTTGAATTCCAGAAGAACTTTCGGAAAATTATTCAAAATAATTGCTAATTGATTTAGAGAAGAAATTTTGTTACAAAATGTAGAAAATAATTGTTTTGGAAAAATTACAGTTGCAATTTTTAGAAATAATTAACTTTATTAGAAAGTTTTGAAATTGATATTGAATTGAAATTTATCGAAATTAGGGAAGTTTTGAATAATTGAATTTAGAAGTCAGTGAAAGGTTCGGGAAATATAAAATGAAATTTTTGTATGAATTATTTTTGAAAAATACTGACTTTTTCGACTTTTTTTCAATATTTAATCGAAAAAAGCGACTTTTTTTGTTCCTCAAAGTCGATTCAAGGTCTACAATTGAATTAAATTGCTGAGACAATATTTCGATAACTACATCAATACAAAAGAAATTCTCCGAAATTTTTCTTTTCTTTCCTTTTTAATAAAGTGTCCATAGTATTAAAAAAAAATGCAACCAGAAAAATTTTTTGTCTCAAATATTCACTACAATTTCAAATAATATTATTCCACACCTATTTTAAACGCAAATTGCACGTTTTATCCTCTCTCAAGTATAAGGAATTTCCGTTCGTGATTCTGTTTAAGGAAAAGTATATCCTATTAAAAATAATAGTATTTTCAACAATTTTGGTTTGAATATTTTCAAGGACTAGGAAAACAATTTTGGAGTGTCCTTTTCTCTCTCTCTCTATTTTTTTTTAATATACAAGGTTCATTGTCCTTGATCCATTCTCTTTTGTGACCAAAGATAAAATTTTTTTATTACATCATCGGAAAGAAAAAAAAATTCATCTCTCATTTTACATATATATTTAAATGTGTACCTGTCTCATATTCAAATTGCCTTTTAGTTTCGTTATTAATTTTTCGAACTTTGGATTGAGGATTTTGAACCTCCTGCAGATTATATATGACGTAAAATTTTTATTTTGCTTGATTATCTCATTATTACCTTTTGTGCAAATTATAATTAAGAATATTATTAATTTTCATTGTTATTATAATCAATTGATTTTTCGTTTTTCCTTATTTAGTCATTTTAACATTTTTTCGCTCCTCTGATAATAAACAAAAAATAATAAATGAATAAAAGCAAACAATAAATAAATAAAAACAAAAAATAGTAAATAAAAAATAATAAAAAAATAGATAATATTTTATTTAATAAAAGAAAGAAATAAATAATATTTAAAAGTATTTTTACAAGAGAATAGAGTATGAAAAATGCAATAAATAAATAAAAGCAAACAAGAAAAAGTAAATAAAAAATAATAAAACAATAAACAATATTTTTATTTAATAAAAGAAAGAAATTAATGTTTAAAAGTATGTACAAGAGAATAGAGTAGAAAAAAATGCAAGTTGGTCCAAAACGGAAAGTTATGAATAAAAAAAAAATTAAAATAATTGTCTTGGAAAAAACTCAAGATTGAGTTATATTACGGGAGAATGCATAATTATGTAATGGAACCATCGTTTCCATATTGTATATATCAAAGAGGAAGAGCAGCACGAAAAGCGATGATTAATATATTGAAGTTTGCATTTCTAAAGGAGGATTTACGCTTGAAACAATTCAATAATTTCATTTTTGTACTGTTAAGCATATTTAATAATAAAAAAAGGGAATTACGTCTCAATTTTCACTTAATCATTTTTTTCTATTTATCATTTAAAACAAAATAATTCCGTATTATATACGCATAAATTTTCCCCTTTTTCACTTTTACTTTCTTGTATATTATCCGCCTTTACTTTAAGTAGTTGCATTCCACTTTACAATCATACATGTCGACTGGACGTATTTTTCTTTTTTTTTGTATTTAGTCAACTTTCTAATATATGAAAAAGTCACTTGATTCAGAGATAAGATCATTTTAAATAGTTGCGATAAATGCAACTTTACTGTCAATCACATTTTATTTTTCAAATGTTTTGCAAAGACACGAAAATAAAAAACGATCCAAATTCAAGTTTTGAACGTTCAAAATGACCAAAATATTTTTTAACCAAAAAATTTTTTACTAAATTTTCTGTATTCAATTTTTTATAAATTACTGATTTTAATAAAAATTGAAAATTAACAGTTAGAAAAATAATTAATTTTATATTTGTTTATTTATTTTATTTTTTAATTTATTTATTATTTGTTTATTTACTTATTTTATTTCTTAATTTATGTTTTATTTGTTTATTTATTTTTTGTTTACTTATCCGTTTATTGTAATTAGACAAAATCTGTTTTAATTAACATTATAATAATAGGCAAAAAAAAAAAAAATTAAATTAACACTTCTAAGAGAAAGCAAAATTTGGAAAAAAATTTCAGATTAAAATAATCTTTTTTCTGAAAGTGTAACTTTAATCAGAACTTAGTTTTTTTTGAGAAATTCCTGAAAAAATGTAAACTAATTGAAGTTGAAGCAATTTTAGAGATTTGACGATTATTTTATGATTTTATTAAATTACATTTTTGCGTGCAGTGAATGAGGGTTTTTTTTTTTAAAGAAAAGAATAGTAAATTATTTTTAAATTTTGTTATTTTCCGTGTTAATCTGTAAATAATAACACAGAAAAAATGTTTAGAAGTTATTTTTCTCTGAAAAATGGTTTTTATAAAACTTTTTTCTCCAAAAGATAGTTTTTAGAAAACTTTTCGCTAAAAAAATAATTTTTCAACAACTTTTGTCTCGAAAAAATAGTTTTTAGAAAACTTTTCGCCAGAAAATAATTTTTCAACAACTTTTTTCGCTAATAAATAATTTATTAAAAAAAAATAGTTTTCACAAATCTTTTTTATTTTTAAAACTATTTTTTGGAAACAAAAGTCTTGAAAAAATAGTTTTTAGAAAAATTTTTTCTAGAAAATAATTTTTAGAAAACTTATTTCGCCAAAAAATAGTCTATATACAGA